ATTCCGTTCGGGAGATTTTTCACTTAAGGGGCACACCTAGTATAATTACCTAAAAAAAAGTGTTTTTTGGGAATTTTTATTAAAAAAAAATACTTTATCAATTATTTCAAAATTTTAACAATATATTTATACATGTTTCAAGAATATACAGTGAAATTTTTGAAAAAAAGAAATTAAATATTTTTTAAGTTATAGTCGAACTCCAACGGCGCGAAAAAAAAGGTTCTTCACTGCTGCAGTGATTCCGGCCTTCTCCGTGGCTGAAACCTAAGAAGAAAATTCTCTACTAGATAATATTGTCGGTACAATGACCTGCGATTAAAAAAAAACATATTGTCATGGCGGTGTTTAAAAAAAAAATCGAATTTGCCCAAAATTTGGTTTTTTGGCCTGACAAAATTCAATTTTTTGATCAGATCAAAAATCGATAGGTCATTGTACGGAGGACTATATAAAGAGCATGTAAAAAAAATCGATAGTGATCGGATCATTTGATTTTGAGAAATCACTGCGGCAAATTCGGAAAATGCTGTTTCGCGAAAAACGCATTTAAAGATAAAATGATCGTTTTCACGCGTAGCTAATGAGACTCTCTAGCTGCCGAGCGGCTGCTCTTCAAATTGCTTTAACTCAAAAGCTATTTGAGATATCGATTTAAAATTTTAATATGCTATTTTTTAAGGTGTAATCTACCGATGTATGAAAAAAGATAGATTTTTTTGAAATTTCACACTATTTGTGCCCCTTAAAGGAAAGCCACGTTCAGGTCGGTCAAATGAAGTTAATGATGGCGATATCAAAGCTTATATCGAATCGGATTGTCATGTAACTGAGCGCGCGATTGGAGAGAAGTTAAGTATACCAAAATCAACCATTCGTAATCATATACGACGTCTTGGACTAGTAAAAAATGTTTGGGTATCACATGAATTGTGAGAAATTTATTTAACAAGGCGCTACGCATTTTAAATTCAATGATTATGATCCGTTTTTGAAGTATATCATAACTGGAGATGAAAAGTGGATTGTTTACCACAACGTCAATCGAAAATGTTCATGATCCAAGCATGATGAAGCGCCTCAAACCACCTCAAAGAATGATATTCACTAGAAGAAAATTATGCTGTCAGTTTGGTGGGATTTGAAGGGTGTGGTATATTTTGAGCTGCTTCCAAGCAACCAAATGATTAATTCAAATGTCTACTCTAACAACTGGACAAATTGAATACATCCGTCAACAAGAAGCGGCAGGAATCGATCAATTGTAAAGGTACCATATTCCATCAGAACAATGCTAGACCACACACATCTTTGGTGATTCGCCAAAAACTGAGCAAACTTGGCTGGGAACTGTTGATGCTTCCACCATATAGCCCTGTTCTTGCACCGCAAAACTACCATTTGTTTCGACTTTTGCAGAACTCTTTAAATGGTAAAACTTTCAAAAATGACGAGGCTATAAAATCGCACTTGGTTCAGTTTATTGCAGACACAGGCCACGAGCTCCATGAGCGTGGAATAATGATGTTGCCGGAAAGTTGGCGAAAGATCATCCAACAAAATGAAAATAACATAATTGATTAAATATATGTATTTAATTTCATTCAAAAAATCCCCAGTTTCTTTTGGGGCAATCCAATTTATATTGTATAAGTAGTATTTTCGATTTGTGCTTTGAGTTGCCCTCTATATTTGCCTATTCCAAAAGGGAGATGAAAGATTCACAATCACAAAATTAATGATTCGTTATAACTCTTTGCGGGAGAGTCCTTAGCATTTTTCAAAATGCCGGTTATTAATGAGGCAGTTCAGCGTAGAGAAAAACAACTATTTTTAGATACTACATTTATTTGTATGAATTCAAATGCTATGATTTTTTACAATTTTTAACTTTTTCGCAATTTTTTAATTAAAAAAAAACATTTTATTTTATTTTTTCTTAGTTTTATACACGAGACGGAGGGCAAAAGAACTAAATTAGTAAAGAGTGGATATAAAATCGATTATTAGATATTTAATTTCATTAGGAGAAAAAGCTAATAGCCTGATTAATATTAGAAAGCCTATTTCGAGCCATTATTTTTGACTTCTTTTTAGAGCTGCTGATACAGAGTTTATTATTACTATAAACTGCTTACTTTTTTTTTTATAAAAATGTCTTACATTATGTAATAAACGCGTCTATTATAATACCAGTGAAGATACCTATAGCCCCCATTCGCTAGTCATAACAATGTGTAGAGTTGGCAAATTTGAACAAACAACGGATCTTTGCTTCCATCATGTCGCTGAAGACTCTAGAGGTTGCCACTTCTAGAGACTTTGAACTCATCTTCCATAGAGCGGGGCATTTCAAACGGGAGTGTCTTAAAGTTTCAGTCCTCAACAGAAGTCCTTTCTGAATATCTCGTTCTTTTTCCACGAGAAACATGCTCGTTACCTACTTTCATCGCATGTTGGCCAAATTATCTGTCTCATATTGAAACAATGGGTTGTGGAAAATCACACACACATCACACACAAAGTAAGTGAATAAGTTCTAAAATACTTTTAATGAAAGTTGTCTAGAAGATGTAAATAACAAAAGTTGCTGAATTTACAAGTTTGTTTCAAAAAGTCTACTTATACAAGCATATCCTTATATGTACTTACATACATATGTATGTATGAATAATGTTACCACAGTACAAAATCATTTGAGTTTGCTTAAGGCAAAGAGGAAACGAACGTCACCATCAAGTGTTGATTAAATATGCAAATTGATGACAAAATGGACAAAATGTGCGCTCAGAATGTTAAAAGTTTATGACGAACTTTGCTTACAGGAGTTGCAAGCAAATTGTCAGTAATTTCAAAATATTCATATGTAATAAGTACTAAATGCTAAGGACACCCACGTATTGGCAGTATTGGCATTTGCTTACAAGTTCCTGTGTTTATAGGCGGAGCAGCAATAAACTGCGAGTACCTGGTTGTTGTGTCTATATATTGAAATGAATTGCAAATGGAAATAGCCATTTAATTTTGATTTATTATGATGACTTACTCAACGACTTAGTAGACACTGAAAGATTGAGGTTAGGTTTGTCTTTAAGCGAAAACTTGACTACAAATTCGACATTGCAATCCGATGCTGTTAACTTAACATGGAACCAAGACTATGTTCGGTAGAAACCGAACATTAGGTACTCGGTATAATGGTAAAAAATAAATAAAAGATCGTTACATGGAACGGTTTTTTTCTGGTCCCACATCAGCTATATCGATGACTTTAGTACAAATTAACTGCAGATTAACTACTGTTGTTAGTTGTATTGAGCTGAGTTGTGGATCAAGTTAAGCGGGGGTAGAAGGTAAACAGTCCATTATATGGAATTAACGCGTTGTTGTTATTGTAGCGGTTCACCAGTATCGCTTAGGGACAGGTTTGTTAGCCCAAGTCATATCGAGGTCATCTAACGGGAGATCCAGGAAACGTGCTGTGTGTACAGGTACGGACAATCACGACAGCCGATTCAACGCACCGGAGTTGACCCGAATTTTATTTCGCCAAGGGTTGTTGCTCTTTCGGCGATCTTACCCCGGTTAGGTCATCAGGAACAAATGCGTATTTTTCCCCGTACTGTTCAAAATTACCATTATATGGGAGGTGGGTGAAAATTAGTCCAATTGCAACCATTTGCAACAGCGCCCGTACTTGTGACATAGGGAATGTGTGTACCATTTTTCATCAAGTTTCTCAATCAAGTCATCGACTCGTCTTGCCACCACTTGAAGTTTTAAATTTGCATTCTTACTAAAGACCATTGTCATGTCAGAATTTAGTATCCACGCAAAACTGATACGGCTGTGCAAACTGGCTCTGAGCAACATCAACAGCTGCATCAGTTTAAAGAAAGACCTCTCCGCGCCGTTTGCTACCAAACTAGATTTATGACGTTTGACTTCTTTAATTTATTGCTGGAGAAAGTATACTCTTCTATAAGAGTATACAGCTGCTGGCGTACGCTGATCATTTTGACATTATCGGCTCAGAGAGCTTTCAAGTCGTTGATAATTTTATCCAACTTGGAACAAGCAATGTCCCACTTGAAATCCACGCAAAATGTCACTTGTCACCGTGTGCTGCTTCGGATGATGTGTACAGTTGTAAGGTAAAGCGTGCACGATATCAGCATCTGATAAATCGTTAATTTTAGTTTCAGAGGGAGAGGGCATTTGTCTAATAAGTATAAGACCTATTTGGTTGGTTTCGTTTCAGGAAATGTCAAAGCACAAGTACTTAGTTATGATTGGATTTAGCTGCTATCTTAAGAGAAGGGTATGACCGGGCTGATTAACCTTTTATAGCAGGCGGGGAACCGGAACCAAGTGAGCAAAGTAAACGTTCCCAAAGCCAAGTGTTATTCATTCTGAGTACAGTTTTTTTTTTAACGACAATCGTCTCTAAGTACAGACTGAATTTGAATGACCCAGACATATATTTAAATATAACAGGTCAACAACAGGAAGCAGAATGATAACAGTTTTATGAACTGAAAACTTCGTAATTGATAGTTTACAGATAAATATGTATATATTCCTGTCCATAATCCATTTGCTTATTATTTATTCATCATTTCTTAGGCATAAAAGTCGAGTTCATAAATCAAATCAAAATTTTTAATTTTATAGGAAAATATTTATATTGTAGAACTGGTCTTTTCGAATTGTGCGTTGCAATTTTTTCCTATGCCAAAAGTGAGCATTGAAATTATTGACTTTGACCATTGATGTTATGACTCCCCCCCTAGCCAATAAGGGATTTTTCATGTAAAGGAAAACTTTAATTTTTAGATATTGAAATAGGTGGGTTCAGAGGGTATCATACAAAACTCGAAATTTAGCTGCCAACACATTTTGGACTCAAAATAATTTACAGCATTAGTAGTTTAAGAATTTAGTTTTTTTTTTTTGCATTTTTGAGTACTTTTTACGTGTAATCCCACATAAATACAAACCTTACGTATCACTGCATTGCCATTATAATAGATTGGTGGTTCATTGAATTCCTCTTCAATCCACGAAACAACTTTATCAGACACAAATGGTGGCACAGGCACACCCCAGAGACGTTTATTCGCATCAGGCTCCTCGCTTTCCGGTGAGATGTTGTCAAAAGTTAAACGTAAAGATGAAGTTGGTGAGAGTGTACGTTCGATTTCATTAAATTTATTCATGAATTTCGTAAAATCCATAACGCACGCTGTATATGCAAATTAAAGATGTTGATTTCGCTGAATTTTCGTTAACCAAATACACCGAATACAATAAATTCAGAATTTGGCGCACTGCTTCACTCTCACTATTGACCAGCAGTTTATTTAATCAATAATTATTTTAACACATACACACAGACGTATATATTTATGTAGAGAAAGGATTTATAGCCGAAATATAGCATAAAGACACACAAGTATATCACCTTACATACACTACCTACTCTACTCCCACCCGAAACGACCGAGTGCAATAACACGGGTGTAGTCGAAATATATCTATGCAGTAACGGTAATGACAAAACGTGAGCATCAACTGTTTTTTAATGGAATTACAAACGAGTACTTTCACTTTTTCTCAAAACAAAAACAAATGAAGTGCAGCGAAGATGATTGGGTGTCTCCACTTGAGCACTTGAGTTGTTAAGTGGTTGTGAGTTTGCTTAGGATGTTGTGTTAAATTGAAAATGACGATTTGTTGATTGTTGAGTCAATGGCGGGCAGGTTAAATGGCGATGCTAGTATTTATTTTAAATAAAAAAAACACGCGCGGATTATCCGATGACAATGTTGTGTCATCTTTCGACGTTGAACTCGTACTCAAAAGCAACTTGGCAAGGAAAAGCATGTATGACCAAACGACACACAGCGCCAATTCGGTAGCTAGAGAAATGGGAAATTTCCAGCAGAAGGGATTTCCTTAACTGGAAAACGAAGTAAACATATATACCTTACGTTTCTAAGTCATTTATATAATTCTGAGAGCGGGGGCATTTGAATAGAAACCTAAAAGATTTGATGAATGAAACAATTTTCCTTTGGGGAACTCAACTTTTAATTAGTTAAATTCACTTCTCAGCTACTGATTGTAAAGGTTAATAGTAGTGGCTACTAAAAATTTCCCAAGCATGCGCAATACAATAAAAACAAAAACATTTCTGTTTTCAGCTTTTAAATCTTGTCTTTGATACTAAAGTAAGCTGGATGAAATGTAATAATAATAGAATTCTTACGCATTTCACTCTTTGTAAATATGCTTAAGTATTAATATATACTATGACGTGCTTTTCCCCAAGCTTCTGCTTCAAAGCTTTAAAGTTCAACTTAAGGACTTCTTCAAAATATAACCTAATCGGATTTTTGTTACCATAGGTTGGTGTAATTTATGCTATTGCTACTGTTTTAAGGTTCAAGTCGTGTTTTGATGTTATTTTGCTTGACAATATAGGGTGTTCTTGACGCAGCTATATGGGAATGATGCACTTTCTTCATTGGCAGAAGGGAAGATTTGGACTGAATTTAAAGCGACACACTTTTCGAAACGGCTGTTGAGCCAATTGCCATCATGAATAAGTGGAAACGTGTTGGTGAAGTATATCAGCCCGAAGACTAAAAGCTAGATATATGTATAGTAACTAACGTATCAGATAACATCATTCTGTGAATGCAAAGGTAGTAGTTTATCATAGGTTATCAATATTTTTGAGTAGGAAATCGCATAATGGGCTTTAGTGCGACAAAATTTATTAAAAAATGTAGCCAATATTTTACAGTGTATTCTGGCTTTGATTAGGTTTTGGTCGAAGTAACTTCCGCATGTGCAAATCTTTTAGATTCAAAGAGTTTGGAGATCTGAATCATAATCGGTAAATGTTTCAAGTACCTAGTGTGTAGACTTTGACGATAAGTAGCCCTACAAGAAAAGCGCAAAATATGGAAATTAAATAAGTTGCTGAATTGTATCAAACATTCCTAAAACTATTCTACACTGGCTAGGCTTCATTACAAAATGTGTATTATCAGTTTGGATGGATTAGTGACAAAAATGCATATACCTAAATGCATATGTTCTTGTATAAATATTATATATATATACATACATATGTACATACTATCTAACTATCACATTCATTATCGATTTTATTATTTTATTTGTGCGTTGTCTTTTTTCCGTTTGCTTTTGCACTGAGCACTGCTAATGCAACACCTGTAGATAACGATTAGACAAGCGAAAAATAATAGCAGATATGAGATCCCCGATTAAACTCCATTGGACGTGCATTAAAATGGGAGGTTTTTACATGATTTTTATGTAAAATCGAGATTTATAGATACCTAAAATAGTACAGCAGATGACTCAGCCAGTACCGGTAGGTCAAGGGACAATACACAATCACTTTTTGAGGTCATTTATACAAGGGAGCGGCATTTTCAATATTCTTTCCAAAGTTTTAATTTTTTTTTTGGCGTTTATATCTTACCTTGGCTAATTTAATGTCATCCATGTTCCTTGAATTGTTCAATGCTATAAGAACAAAATTCTGCTTGTGTGCTCCAGCTGTTGAAAAAATATACACACACAAGTTTTTTTTCACCTGATAACTTTCACTTGTAAAATAAACCAAAAGTTCACTTTATTAATCTATATGTTCATTATTTTTGGTGAATATTTATTGTCTATTTAAGTTTTGTTTTTGTAATAACACTATGTAAAGTTATATATTTCTAATTATATGCGGAAAAAAATCTGTTCGAGTAAGAAACGACAAATTTAGAATCCAACAAAGCTAGTCAAACAATAAATGGCGAATTATGAGAACACAACAAAGTGGATGACAATTCAAATGTCAGAACAGGGTGAACAAAGAGTGAGAACTGTGAGTGATGCCAGGCTTTGAAAGTAAATCGCTTTAGCTTAGACCAAGCACTGGTTGCTTACTCAAATAAATAAAACTTCTCAAACTTTAGGAAAGCAGTGATAGGTGCTAATGTATATTGAATACCAACATCTTAATGTTACTGATAAACGGGATATAGAAGATTTCATATAATAATTTCGCTGAATTCTATAAAAAATTAATCTACATATGTGATTAGCGCGACATGTGAAAAGCAGACTCTTTATCTCTGAAGAAAGAGCCATTTATCATGCAAGGGTTTTGGCCCATTAGTTTCCTATCTCCCGTCAATATTTTAACAGTTATATTTTCTCCATTCGGCGAACCTGGCTGTAAATCAACTTTGAAACTATAGTATTTTTCAAAAGTCTCAGTTAAGGAACTGTCGGCATATTCAGCTTTACTATATTTTAACCGCCTTTAATGCTAGTAAGTCATTATATTAGGATTTCCTAATAGTGTTAGTTTACTCTGAGCTTGGATCCTGTTCATTTCGATAAATTTACTAGAAATGCTAAAAAAAAAGGAACTTGTATATTATTCCTTGAACCTCTTTAAATTTCTATTTTTTTCAAGAAAAAAATTAAAAAATGACATCAACCTTCTTTATTATCAGTAAGATCTTACCTGTTACCTGTAGACCTAAACGGGGTTAGGTAGCTGAAAGGGTGACAGCCCTTGGCCGGATAAAATCCGGGTCAACTCCGATGCGTAGAACCGGCTGTCGTGAGAGTCCTAGAAACTTTGCTGGCTACTTACAAAGCAATTGGCCGGCCGGTCGTAAACTATGCTGCACCGATCTGGACGCCGGGGACGAACGGGACGCAGATGAAGAAGCTACAGGCTTGCCAGAACACCGCCCTTAGGACCGCGACAGGAAACCTCCTGAAGTCGCCGGAGCATGACTTGCACAGGGAAGCATCTATGCTACGAGTTAAGGAGCAGAATGCTTTGCTGTGCAAGCGGTTCCTATTGGGATGCTACCGCAGGGAGCACCCCAGTAGACATCTAATAGAGGCTGAACCTCCACCTAGGCACATCAGAAAGGGAGTACTAGACTTAAAGGACACAATCCAGCAACACATACAACACCCGCTGGATAGGACGGCGTACCGACAAGCACTGAACGCCATTCACCAGGAGTCAGTCAACACCTTCAAGGACTCCCTTCCAGTGAATGGCGTACTCGGAGAAATACCACCACCCATAGCAGACAACGAGCTCGAGCTGCCTCGAGAGACCCGCGTGACCCTGACCAAACTCAGGTCTGGATATTGTAGCAGGTTAAACTCCCACCTATCCAGACTAGACTCCAGCAGAGCCAACGTATGCCCTGCATGTGGAGAGTCTCCGCACCACACTAACCACTTCTTCACATGCCCCCTCAAATCCACTCATCTAACCCCCCTCTCCCTTTGGTCCAACCCCGTTGAAACAGCTCGTTTCCTGGACCTACCACTAGATGACCTCGGCGACTTAGACTGATCAATTCTGTGCCTATGCGGGGTTGGCGAACCGCTACAACAACAACAACAACAACAACAACATCAGTAAGATCTTGATATTTTATATTATTTAAATAATTCTTCTAGCAAAATTATACTAAAGAAATTATTATTATAATTAAAATATGTTTGCAAGGTTAGGCCTTTGAAAAACACATAAATGAATGGAAATTGCTAAATTAACAAATAAGCAATACTATTCTGATATACAATAATCCCGAATTTTCCGAAAAAATGGATTTTATATCAAAATTATGTCGGTACACACTTCTCAAAAAGTCTTAAATAAAATTTATTTCAAAAGTATAACTTATTTTTACTTTGTGTGCGCAAAATTTTATGTTTCTTTGACTTTGTACCTTTACTATTACAATGCAATATACAAAATGCAAAAACCAGCAAGGCACATTTTTATAAACTCGTTACATAAGCACGTTTAAATGTGCAAAATTCAAAAAATCATTTACGCATGCCAACATATTTCGTCCAAATGCCTTTGTTATCGAAATATGATTTATTACGCGAACATATGATGGCATCCTTGAAGATGGTGGCATAAGCTTCGGGTATAGCATTATTCTTATATAGATTGTACAAGAACTCATAAATCTGAAAAATAAATAATAACCGTATTTTTTTTAATAAAATAACTTTGGAATCTCTAAACTTTTAACAAATTACCTTCGCTTCCTGATCTTTCCAGAAGACATGGTCACAAAGAAATTGCAAACTCTCAGGAAACAGTGCAAAGCGATCTTTACGTTGTGTGGCGACTGAATCCAAATTGCCCAACAAAACGGCACAACCGGAAAGAACGACCACAGCTAAAATGAAAATATCTAAAAGGTACAAAACTTTATCTAATTTCTCTTTGTTGGACGATTCAGCTAATAGCGCCTGTATTTGTAAAAACATTTCCATAATCCAATTGCATGACTGCTCATCGTTATTAAAGGCGTACAATGTGGCAACAAGATGACGATAAAAGAATGGCTGCTCCTCGCGACGGGTCGCATATGTATCTATGATTGGATTAAGCCATTTCAAGGGGTTGGTCAGCTGTGTATTATACAATACAAGGTAGCAGCGTATGATAGTCGCCTTTTTCAGTTTACCAATTGGTGTTTCCCACCAATTTGCGGGCGATGTGAGACCATCGATAGAATTGGGATGTAGAACAGATACTACCTCAGTGTAACGTTCGAAGAGCTGTGTGTAGAAATGAAAAGATGACACAATAATATGAAAAGAGGCTAAATGGTATGCAGAACTGCACAACTTACTCTCGAATCCAGATCCATGGAGTCTATATAACGTTCCACAATCAAAGTGAATATATCAAGTACCTCTGGTATGTCACATTTGCCCAAGAATATGTATTTAACACTGTCTATGAACTTTTCAAAGAGGCATCCTACAATATATATATATATATATATATATTTAAATCCAGCACGTACTTTCTTTGACGCTCTCCGACTTACCTTCCATGAATCCACTCAGTTGCGACTCCTTAAAGCTGTAAATAGCTATCTTCTCAGCAAAGCCTTTTAAAATCTGTAAACTAATGCCATTCGCGATTTCTGGTAGTAAAGAAAAGAGGAGCAACAAGTCTTCCTCAAAACAGTTCGGTTCAAACTCAGCCAAGAAGTTCTCCAACAAGCGTTTTGCCGTGCCAGAATGTAGTAACTGGTTTTTGGCGATCAGTATGCAATATTTTCTAGCCTCAAATGACAGGTGGAAGAAACTGTGAAGAAAACACCAATCGACCGGCGGTATAGGTTTGGGAAACTTTTTCGAAATCGCCCTTAGTGCATTGGTAACAACATGTGGCTCGGTTACGTGATCTCCAAAACGGGACTGGCTCACCAAGTAGCTGACAATGGCGCGCAATGGACTTTGTGGAAAAAGACCCTGTAATTTACGGGGTTCCAGCTTACCCTCGGGCAGACGGTAAACACCACTACGGAAGCCATTTATTTCAGCGTAGATGTGATGTGCAATTAAATCTGACGCTGCTGCGCCACACTCCGGACGTATTTTTTGCAATAAATGTACCCAAACTTCGCCAGGTACCATTTCTTGTTGTAGATCAACTACCTCCCGGCCGCCAACAAACTCACGCACACCAGGCGTATCTTGTCGATACTGTATAGGTATGTGTCGCATACAGAGTAATGTATTAATTTCGAAATTCTTCAAAGCAGCCAACGCTTCACGCACCAGTTCCGGCTCGGTATCCGAGCGACTAATAGTTGACCAAAGTTGTTCTAATGCTTCGTCCACCAACTGTTCATACTCCAAGGTGGGTGTGTGCAACAATGGTATGTGTGCGAAGAAACGATAAAGTGATTTAAGACCGCGTGGACGACGTTCATGTCTAAACTTATTGCTGAGCACACGCCAAGTAGAGACAATATTTACGGTGTGACTATCACAGAGCGCCACAATAGCATCCAGAGCTTGTGACGTGGCTAGATCGCCAGCATCATCGGTGCATGAGTTCAGTGTGTCGGAGAGATGAGAAACCAAATCGGAGCCATGTTGAGTGGGTCTGTTTTATATGTGAGGAGAAAGATTTTCCACTATATACTAAATATTTATGATTGTATGTGTACTTACTTTTCATAACAAATTTCGCGTATGGTATGCGTTTTAGCGATCTCGAATTCCCAACGTTTATTGCTGTCTTTCTGCGGTGTCGAGAGCAGTTTTATTAAAAAGGGATATGTGCGTGATTCGACGCGCCACAAACGCAGATATAGATCCATACAGAATGTAGCGTTTTCGGCAGTAAGATTACGTATTGTATTTAAAATCATTGGTATATTATCCTGCGTGGATGATAGTTAAATCAAATGTGTTTCTTTAATGTTTATCTTTTCAACTTACCTTTGACACCGCAAAGCTGGGCAGACCACGCAGTAGCTCCATTTGAATTTCCGGCTGCTGTTCACCAGCCAATTTAAAGACATACGTCATTAGGAAATCATAAGCAATACCGCTATTCACTTTAATTATTTCCAGTATAGACTCATAAATCTTAAACCAACAATCCATAGACGGTTCTTGTGACAGGAAAAGTGCACGCAAAAACAAATGCAAGCGCTGACAAAACATGGTATTCGCTTTCACATTAAGCGCATCGACAAATGTGAAGACATCTTTGAACTCCGACTCATCAAAGGATTCCACGAGCTTAGCCAAATCGAAGGCAATTGCAATATCTGGATGAAAATAACGTGCCTGTGCTGGCTGCAGCTCTCCCGTACGAATAGTAGAGTTCTTCACCGCCGTTGCTGCGTCTTTGTTTTGTCCAAGAATTTTACGTACAACTTGATGTGCGAGTGCTAGACCTTCTGCGGGTATGAATGCAGTCTGAGACATCCACTGGATGATACCATCGAGACACATGTTCAGAATGTATTGATTCCCACAGCATTCTTGCACCACAATAAATGCGATAATACGTAGTAAATCGTGCAGATAATTCGGAGATAGCAAATGTAGACACTCGGCGAGTAGTATGAGCAAGACATTGTAATGATTGACAGTGTGTTCGCGTGTACTATGCAACACGCGCAGCAAACAATGGAGACTCGGACGTGGATCAATGCCATATTTCGTCAGATTATTGACAATTAAGGCTTGGAAAATGCATAAATCAATAACGGTGGTGTTATCATTACAATTTAGGCAGTGTTCAATCGCTTCGATTAGCAGTATGCTGGTGAAGAGGCACGTTGAGGATGAGTTAAACTTGCTCCATGAGAAAATCTCTTGCACAAGCTGTTTAGCGGCGAGATTCGTTTTACTTAATGATAGTAGGCCTGTCCAGATGGTTTTCGAATCGGGCAGTGTCTGTGGATTGCAAAGTACGTAAAGGAAGACTGGACGCAAATACTCAACACTATGCTCCTTGATTCTAAGACAAAAATAAAAAATATTTTCAATCGAAAAATTCTCCATTACTCTGATATTAGCACTTACTGCTGATCATGATGGTTACAAATGCCGACAATCTTGTTGGCTACATCGTTTATATTTACGGCTGGATTTTGCAATAAAGTTATAATAGGATGTTGTTGCGTCTTCAGACCGAATTGGCTTTGGAAAACTTCGTGTTCCTTCAAGAGAGCAACTCTGCGTTTTAGTCCTAGTAAGAGTATGCTGACGATACCTTCGGTGATCGTGGTGTATTGTGAGGGACTGAAAACAGAAAAATAAAGTTTAAATCTAGACAATGGTACTTGAGGAGTTAAGGAGCTATAGTGAAGAATAACAAAGCGGCGGCAGCTAATTTACATATCACAGTTTCACTGCAGATGGTGGTCGGACGAAAGCATGACTGACGACTTGAACCTGAGAGTGCCTTGCTTAATTTATAAGAGGGGAGATCCCAAAGTCTGCGGGAGATCTCGTAAAAGAGTAAATCCTACCTCCAATGATCAGATTGGATATTTTCAGTATGGTTACGGGAAATCTAAAAATGGCCAGATATATATAACGTGCTAAATCAAAATCCCCGTGAAACCTCTCTTCGATTTTAAAACTTCCTTCAATTGTTCGAAAAGGAGCTGCATCCAAGCTAATGTGTCTGAATTCGGTATCCCAGCAACATTTAAACGATTGACGCTGAGTATCATCAAAAGTTCCGCCATTATCGGGAAACACCTCTCCGAATCGTTCGATACTAAATGAGGTTTCAGGCAGGGTGTCTCTTTATTTAGAGATTTTTTTTAACTTAATGCTGGAGAAAATGTTTTGACGTGCAGAGTTAAGTTGAGAAGGTATATTCTCTGAAAGGACAATATCTGCCATGTTCCGATGATATTGGTATCATTGGTCTCAACAACCTGCTGTTAGTTCAGCTTTAAGAAAGCGAGGCGAACGGATCTGGTAGTGAACGAGGATAAGACGAAATATTTCCGGTCATTGGATAAACAGTAAATGGATTAGTGGCTGACTTTGAAATAGTAGTCGATTTCGTTTTTTTAAGAATCGCCTATAACAATGTAACCCTTGAAATCCAAGGTGCTATTTTGGATTGAGTAGACAATTGAAAAGTAGAATGCTCCCTCGATTAATAAAATCGAACGTGTACAAGCCTCTCTAAATTTCTGATTTATATGTGATAATGAATGATGACCACTACCGATGTTTGGGCAACTGAAGTTTTCGAGAAAGGTATGAGGGAAATATATGATCTGTACACGATGTATGGCACATCGTCATAGTTCAGTGAAGCCAGCGGCAAGCACTCCAGCTGATAAATTTCAATGCTCTACACAGTGGTGGATGCAGAGCTAGATCTTCACTCGGTTGGATAGATCCAGTGGAGAAGAATCTGGATTCCCTTGATGTTTCGGGCTTTTCCTACTTTCTAAATACTAATGTTTTCTGTGTTCTATATTAGCCTTGCAGCTGCGACACAGAACCGCCTTTTCACTTATTTTCCTATTTTTACCTAACGCCAACCAAAACACGGGGGAGTCATCTACCGTCCATAGAAGAGAACGTACCTAGGAAAACAGTCCAACACCACGCAGGTTTATTGTACTAAATTGCAACTGCCTTGTGAGACATACTTGTGAACCGCAAGTGTTGCTCCCGCTAATTTTCATCCACTGAGATATTATCTTCCTCCCTCCTCCCTTTTGATAAAAGATTGCCACAGGATGAGTGGAATAATCTTTTGTTGTATTTTATTTGACCAAAGGTTTAAGGTTTCTTTGGATATACCTTGAAGCGCTGTCATGCGAGGAAACAAAAGTCTCGATCCACTCACTTCATATGCCAATTCGGGCAGAATTCAAACTATGTTCGTAGCACGCATCGCTACCCACTTGTCTACTACCGTTTTATTAAGTGATGTCTCGTTATTGGGGCGTGCAATGTAGAGCATACCACTCATGTCCGTTTGATTTGATGTCACATTAGAGACTGTTGTAGGCGAATACAATCCTACATTAGACACAGGTACATGTGGCGGGTGTTGCTTGAGTCAACAGAAGCCTCTTTACAAACGCAGCTACAACTAAACATTGACCTCGGCGCGAGTGAATCAAATATCAGGTGTACAACTTTGCTTCCGCCGTTTTCCGATAGGTAGCTGTACCGACTGAGGCTGGTTGAAATACATAGATGATAATGCCTTTAAAGTGAGTGTGGACAGTGCCTAACGAATTGTCATCGCCGTTTCCGTGACAGTTGTTCTTGATTTCGTGTTATTCACGCTCGAAAATGTGCCTAATTCTCGCCATTTGCGGGAAGTTTTACGGTGATGCTGTTCTGAGTGAAAAAACGTGACGGGAGTGGTTTCAACGTTGAAAAAATGGTGATGGAAAGTCATCCTCCAACAAGACAATGCTCGGCCTCACGTCGCAAAAGTGGTCAAAAAGTACCTGGGAACGCTGAAATGGGAAGTCTTGCCCCACCCGCCGTATTCCCCAGATGTCGCCCCTTCTGACTTCCACCTATTCCGTTCGATGGCACACGGCCTGGCAGATCAACATTTTCAATCCTTCGAAGAATTGGAAAAATGGATTGCTTCATGGATAGCGTCAAAAGAGGATTCCTTTTTTCGAGCCGGGATCCGAAAATTGTCGGAAAGATGGGAGGAAGTTGTCGCTAGCGAAGGGCAATACTTTGAATAATATATCTGTAAGCACTTTTTCGATAAAGCTTTTAATTTTGGAAAAAAACGGCGGAAGCAAAGTTGTACACCTGATAAATGTCTACAAAATGCTAACTCAACCATTTTTCAAACACTGAGAGCTCTTCGTATGTGCTCAAATGGAAACACAAGGTAGTCTTTTCAGAATAATAGTAGACTGGCACACAAAATATAAGGCGCCACCCACAACTACCCTTAGTTGAGTGAACTTCGTTCTGTCTCGACCCTTCTAAATCAGACGGCATGTTTCAGTCACATGTGCACTTACATATAAAGTGGTAATTACCAAAAATTATATGTTTACACAAGAATGAAATACACATTTTATTAGTGATTGAGTTTCGCACCTCGACCCTGAAACTCAACGACTGCCAGTCGAACGCGATATAAATGAATAGCTTTCGGATATGGGCGCGCTGTTGCTAGCGTTGAATAAATTTCGAGTTGCTGTACATAACGGTTTTACGTTATATGTAACACTTATTATTATGCAATTATTTCTTAAACTCCTAAAACTCGCTTAATGTTCCCGGAAGTGTTGAAGGTTTTTACGTCGAACTAAGTTTTTCTTCATTTTGCCATTCTTACTTTTCTTCTTCTAATTGTTTTTCTTTTTCAAATATTTTCCTTTAACGGTAATTGTAATTCAAGTTCAATGTCGTTCTCGAGTTATATACACGGAAGTTCGTTAGTGCCACAATAAATGTGTATTGATTGCATATCCAGCGTTGTGGTTGCAATTCATATACATATATACATATTAATGCAAGTTGTATATGCCACTCGTGTGTGTATGGTCAGGCCAAATGAGCTCGCATCATTAATGTGCAAATTAGTATATCGTTTTGTAGATCTCTGCATTTTAAGTTCTCCACTTCGAATATTAAGTATGTGTGAATGTGTGACGCGCGAGAATTTTACAGTTAAATTTTTACTAAAAGTTGATTGAAACAAGTCGTCAAGTTCTATAGCATTATTATACTTCAGTAATTGCCTTGTGTGTGAAGCACTTTTACGGTAGTAATTGTAAGTGTCTCATTGCAGCTTATTCAACAGAAGATCCAACCAAAGTGATGAACGATTGAAACTTAAGTTTTGTTTCAAAACAAAATTTTTGCAGTATATTTTATGAAGTGTTCAGACTGGCACTTAGTTGCTAATTAATACGCAATCTATAGACCTTTATACAACCAGTTAATCAAAGCAAACTTTTGGACTCAAAGAAGTGATCTAGTGTCTGCTGCCCAGAGTATACTGAATTTATGAGAGGAACACTTCTACAGCCTGCTGTGCTCAGTTCACAAAAAGGGCGATCCCGGAGTCTGCGCCATCTACCGTGGGATCAACCTCTGCTATATCGCATATAAGGCTTTATCGAACGTATTATGTGAAATTTATACGGCTCCGTAAGAATCGGGAAGAACCTCTCCGAGCCGTTCGATATCCAACGAGGTTTCAGACGAGGCGATACCTTACTGTGTGAATTCTTTAATTTAATGTTGGAGAAAATAATAATAGCTGCAGACCTGAATAAAGTAGATATAAACTACTATAAGGCTGTACAGCTGCTGCCGTACGTGGAATATACTGTCATTGTTTGTCTCAACAATCGCACCGTGAGTTCCGTGTTCTCCAGATTGGATAAGGATGTGAAGGATATGGGTTTGGTACACGGATTGCATGAATAATACTTTGTTGGTCTAACCACGTTTAGGTCGGTGCAGAATTTTTATTGTAGACCTTATGTATACATCTACTACATCTCAAAATTTGACCAAGTAAGCAACATACACAACAACAACACACTAGTTCAATGCTGGTTAAGTTGAAAATTTTTGTTCTGAAACTTTCAAATAGAGAGGTTGGGCACATGAACTAGGATAATTAGGCAGTGATAAAGTTATTTTTCAAGGGGTTTTATTGAGGTATTTGATCAACACCATGAAATGAGCAAGGTGACAAAAACAAAGGACGGAAGAGGAACAAGCACAAAAACAAAAAGGGACTGTTCAAAAATTGTAAACTAACAAAAATTTTCTTAAGTTTATTGGACATAGATTTTATTTCAAATATGATTATATGTCTGTTCGGTGAGTTGCTACTCATCGTTACTAATTTTTACTGCATCGCGTTAGGTGAGCCATAAAACCAGTAAACTTTGCACCGAGAGGGGTATATATATACGAGGGGATTAACAAAAGTTCGGTAAGTTGACTATTATTATTTTCTCTACTTAATCGCCATTGATTTGAATGCATTTCTTAAGCCTATAGATCCACTTCTGAAAACTGTATTCAAAATCTTGCTTCTTATGCTTACAAAGTTTAGCAATAACCGCATTACTTATCTCCTCGTTGCTATTAGAGAGCTTTTCTTTTAAATTTTGGAAATAACTAGAAGTCACAAGGTTCTATATCCCGAGAATATGGCGTTGGACGTATGGTGTATTCATTAGTTCGTGCGGTTTTCTAAAAGAGGGCTCTACTAGTATTATTTCGCGTCGTTTTTAGAAGGAGTCATTTGTTTAAGCGTGAACAACAATTTGTTTCATTCATTTAAAAATGTCGAAATTTGTACCAGATAAAGTGTTTTTGCGGGGAGTTCTTCTTCGAAGAAAAGTGCTACCGTGCTACCGAAGCCATCGTATTGTACTGGCCTTTATGCTGACCATGCTTTAGCCGAATGAACGTGCCAAAAGTGGTTTGCACGGTTCGACTTAGACGAAGAACAACCAAAAAAAATTCAAGACAAAGTATTGGAGACATTGTTCGACGCAGATGAATGTCAGACGCAAGAAGAACTGAAAAAAGTATTTAGAGTTGATCAAGATTCATTATGGTAGCCAAAAGCGCTAGAGATCGTATGTGAAGCCCGGCCAACCATCGAGATCCACGGACCACAAGGGTTTGCTCTATTATGGACTATTGATTTCGGGTCAGACGATCAATGGGGACCTCTACCGAACACAATAGATTCGTTTGAAAAAGGTCATCGTGGAAAAACGACCAGAATATGGGACCAGACATGAATCATGAAAACGCTCGGCCCCATGTTGCAAGGCCAGTTAAAAACTATTTGGAAAACTGTGGGTGACAAGTTCTACCAGCCTTATAACCCAGACATAGCACCCTCCGATTACCACTTGTTCAGATCAATGCAGAATGGTCTACCACTTTAGATCGGGTGAAGTAAACTGATATCATTACAAGTGGGTTTGCTCCTATTGGGCTCCACACAATGTACTGCTGTTTAGTTTCTGTAGCATACTTATATAATCAAGATTCGTCACCAGTAATGACTTAACTAAAGTTGCTAGTTACTGATCATTTGCAAAGTGGTGTACGAAAAATTGGGCAAAATGCACTTAAGCCTTTTTTAAATCTCATTTAAAATTCGGGGTACCCATCGGATAGATTTCTTCGTATATCCCAGATGATTACTTAATACTCGCGATACAGCCATGTCAATCAAGCCATTCTTCAATTTTCGATCTCACCAGAGCCATAATGACGTTATTAGTGGAAGATTTTGGTTAACCTTCTCGGGGCTCTTGCTCTACGGTAAAATATCCGGTCTACAATCTCCGGAACCATTTAGAAACTGTCTTTAAATACGCTGAAATCGTTCCATGTGTAATTTGGCAATCACTGAATATTCGTATTGGCTGTAAATTACGCCAATAAATCTGAAGAAAATCACACGACGAATTTCGTTTGTCCTATCTCCAGCTATCTTGCGCTTTCTCGCCTCCATTTCAGCTAATCGAATTGCAAAGGATTTCATATTTTTAGATTTAATAAAAACAAATTGAAAGTCACCAACTGACCGAACTTTTGTTAATCCCCTCGTATATATATACCTGTTTGTGTACGCTGTTGCTTTTTTCAAGTTTTAGGGAAATGAATGTGCGTGCATCCATCAGATTAAGCTTTTCCGCTGTTTTCATTATTTTCCTTTTTTTTGTCAAACATGAAATAACATTCGACAAAAAAGACCACCGTCCATTTTATTGTTACGTATATGTCTATAATGTATATATGTATGAACATATGTTGCAGAATTGAACAGTTTGTACTAATGGCTTTCTTTACTTTTCACAGTTGGTAGTAGAGGATTTCAAGTCGAACGTTTCCGACTAGACTAAAGGGTGGCTAAAGGTCTTCTCAGAGGTCTTTGGAGCGCAGAGAGTGTTTTGCGCTGGAACCCGCCTTTTGTAGAAATAAGTTAAGAATGTATGTAAACAAAAATCGCTGTAGCGATTTTAAGCCCAAAATTCTTTTTATACATGCATACATACATATGTGCTGTTTCAGCAATTTATCACCGCGTTTTCGGAGTCAACGACCACACTACCACCGGTTGGTAAGTTATTACTAAATTATTGAGGTCACCATGTCAGTCAGCCGACAGCAAGTCAATGCCACGTGTCAGAATGCTTAATGATACATTTGTAAGGAAAGTCCGTTTTTATAACCACCGCAGCGAGTGTACCTTGATTTTTACAAATAATGCCATAAGCGTGTATGTTTATGAGAGGATTTGTAATTGTTCGATGGCTTGATATTTAGCACTTTTATGCTTTTTTTAATAGTATAGTTGTAGGGTTCGAAGTATTTAGCGACCATAACGGAAGCTATAAATGACGCGCCTATTGGCTGTGGACGCTAAAGTAAATAAGCAATAAATTAGTAGCAAACATTTTTATTGTGGCGACTTTAGATGACGTAAAATATTTATATTCTTTTACAAGGACTGAATATGTTGTGTAATAAGACAAAATGTAAGAATCAGTCTTTCTTCACTAAAATTGCCTGCTTCAAATAAGATGATCTCACGTAGCCGAATCTTTAATAGGAAGTCTATACATAGTTGTTCTTGGCATAGTACGACCAGATCATTTTTTTCTATAACGAAAGTGGTTATTTTTTTCATCAATTCTGCCAGCCATTGATTCTAATTAAATATATATATATATATTCCCTTTACATTGCGCCAACTAATATTTTATATACTCATGCTCAAGATAAACATACATATATGCCAATACCCAAGAATTTTGCTTTCGAAAGTTTTTCATCAACCTATTCACAGACATGCAATGACCTAAAGTTATAACAGGCAGAGCAATTGTCTTAAGTGCAACCATATTGAAGCCAGCTATGTAACGATTTTTGTAAGCGCATATCTTCAACGGAAATAATGTTGTGGCATAGTTTAGTGGAAGAGCAATTGCACGGAAGAAAAAGGAGCAGTAAACTAAAAGTTGCATAGCAAACATTAAGTAAAAAGTTACAAGAACTATTTGCCGTAAAGGATAAAATTCGTGGTAATTTATTCGCAAAGCCTTGAAGTGATTTGCTTTTGATTCGCACTCATTTCCGATGCAAGGACAGAATAAAAAAGAGCATACTGAAAATTCAACTTAAACTAAGTAAGTTTTTTAGTTTTGTTTTCTTTTCACATACTACGAAAATTGTATGAATATTTTACCTGGAGTTCGGCAACATGGAAATTAGCATGGTTAACACATTTGAAGCTTCTAATACGCCACCTTCGACCAGCCGCACAAATGTCTGTGAGCTCAGAAGACTCAGTTGAACAATATCCGCTTTGCATTGTGTTTTTAAAAATTCGATTTCCTTAATGTTTTGCTCTGCAATTTTCTTTTCACGACTTTCAGTGATTTTTTTAAAGATTTTTTCAAGACAAGCGGAAATTTTCACTACCGATGTCGTGTTTGTTATGTTTTTGAATTCCTCCATAATTCCTTCTCAGAAAGCACAGTAGTAACAATAAAATGTATTTTATATATTTATTTTATATTAATATGGAAGCCAAGGTGTTCACTTTTCTGCCGCTAAAACACATTCTTAAACAAACTAAATTGCCGAGTTGGCCACAACACTTAGTCACTTATCCGCGTCCGAATTGTCCGTCTTACCACGTTGCTACACAAGCCTAAACTCGATTGTCTGAGTTCAAATTTGGTTTTTCCAAATGCAAAACAACACAAGGCGCATGTCCTTATTTTTACGTTTGTTTTTGTTAAACAATTGGCGGCTTTAATCAAAACAAAACAGTAAGCAGCTGTTTTTGACAGCGGCATGAAGTTGGCGCTACCATACTTTTGGTAAAATTTCTAAAACATAAGGTGAGGTAACCCTAAAAACAAAATGAAGCGCTATCTAGCGTGTTATAGCTGCGTAGAATGTTGAAATGTTATTAACATCAATTTCTTTCTTATACAATAAGTACCTGTAATATGTAGGCGGGGTGGTGGAAAAGGGGGTTGAACAACTATCAAGACAGCCGGTTCTACGCACCGGAGTTGAGCCGGATTTTATCCGGCCGAGGGCTGTCACCCTTTCGGTGACCTAACCCCGTTTAGGTCAACAGATAACATTAATTTAAGTATGCCAACGGAGCGACACCTCGCTGCTGGGCTGCTCCATATCTTTATTATCAGGGCTGGCGTTGAAACTAACCCTGGTGCGACGTATTATTTCTGCTACGTGTGCCAGAAAAATCTCCACCACTCCTCCACCTCGGTTAGGCGCAGCCAGTGCAATGGTTTGAGCCATCTTAAGGAATGCTCAAGCCTTAAGACCCACAGGGAGTGGACCACAAGCTATGTGGCCCCATGCGGCCAACGCCCAAGTGCGCCCCAGCCTCTACGGTAGTGCCTTTAGCTAACCAACTGACCTTTACGGTCTCCCGCAGCATGGCTCCCACCAACAACATTCCAGCCTGTCAAAAGACTGTAGAGGAATTTAGCTGAACGATAACACCCCCATCAGAGTTGTGGGTAATTGCTAAAGCTACCTAGATATAACAATTGCCATTGCTGGTTTGTCTCCGAGAATCACCGGACATTTTTCCACTTTAAAAAAGCTAGCTGGTCCGGCTACACGGAACGGAGATGATGCTTCTGGTGAACGTTTCTTCCGCAAGGTCCTCGTGACCGCTGCCGCCCGTTTCATCCCGGTAGCTGGAACCACAGATTTCCGACAGAAGCAGCAGTTTTAGCATCTAGGCGCGACACTCTTCATAACTCCGATCCCAGGAACCTCTTAATCAGGGATTTAAACGCGGAGATTTGCAAAGTAGTGAACAATCACAAGCGGAAAAAGTGAGAGGAGCATTCAGGGACCTAAACTCTCATTTCTGGGGAAACCAAGCTCTGGACTACAGTCAAGTCGTTGTCTAAATCGACGAGATGCGATAACCGGGTGGACGTTTCATTCGGTGGTCGCGCCTGCTCAAACCCGAAGAGATGCGTGAGCTATTTTAGCCTACTTTTTACACTGCATCCTTCGCTTGATAAAACGAAGCGACGTGGAACCCGCCGTATGGAACTGTCAAGAACCAGCGCGGCGCTTGATTTTTCCAGGGATGAGGTTCATATATGCTATAATGATGCGATCTGGCCGGTGGAAACCATCTGTGTATCAAGTTTTATTGAAAGAACCCAAAAACTCAGGGAGTACTTTGCATAAAAACAGAAGGACAGATGAACAGACAGATAGGCGAACAGACGGACATGTCTAGATTTACTCAATTCGTCGATCTGAACCAATTGCCATACATTTTGATGGGTCTACCTAATCCGATTCTGGTGCTCACTATTCATAGAATACAATTTCATGCACACAAAAAGGCATAACAAGAAGCGTTTGCCTAACTTTGACAGCTCAAAGCTCTTCAGCGTTATTGAGAAATTACGATTTTTCTGCCAAACGTAAAAAAATCAACACGAAGAATGCTCTGTACAAAAATACAATGTACAGCAAGTAAGGAAAAAAATTCGAAAACAATTTTGACACACTTGCATTGTTGAAAGTTACTAAATTAAAGGCATTGATAAATTTCAAACACAATTATTAAATTTTCAATTCTTTTGTACAAATTTTCATATACGAAGAATAAAACTAAATGCACATAGTGTACATGTACACACAAGCCCTTGCTATATAAGCTTGTATTTACTCAATATAAAAGTATATTGTGTACATATGTACGCATAAATATAATAAATTTATAGATATGTTTGAATTTTTGTAAAGATTCTTTTGTAATTTTTAATTAAATTACATATTGAAAAATACTTCCAATTTCTTTCCATTCACAAGAAATGTGTGAACAAGGCGACACATAGAAATTTTATACACAAAAGGAATTGAAAATTAATGACCACAACGACTAAAAGGCAACACAATTACACATACATATGTACATATACTTAATATATTCTTATTTAGTTTAACGAATTCCCAAGAGATTTAAATAAAGATTAAGCATAAAATTTTATAGTTGGGGGAAATACTCTTTTTTGTTGTATATGTATGTATAGTTATTTCGGCGCCATATTACGTACTAGGACGGTGCAATGTATAATTAACTACAATAGTTTTTGAAGAACTCTACTGTTATGTGTGGAAATAAATATGAAATGAAATGGAAAAATTTATATTTTCATTTTGCTTCTAATACTTTCTTTCAACATTAATTTAAATACACTACATTAAGTTGATTGTATGAATTGCATTCATTTTGCAAAAAAAAAAAAATATAGAAATTTGGCAGAACACACAATGCAATATGCTAGATTTCACTTATACCCAGCGAACTCTCTGCGGGTACGCCATGCATGCGTGAACTATCAGGTGTAGAACTTTGCTTCCGCCGTTTTTTACCAAAATTAAAAGCTTTGTTGCGAAAAAGTGCTTACAGATATATTATTCAAAGTATTGTCCTTCCCTAGCGACAACTTCCTCCCATCTTTCCGGCAATTTTCGGATCCCGGCTCGAAAAAAGGAGTCCTCCATTTTTCCAATTCTTCGAAGGATTGAAAATATTGATCTGCCAGGCCGTGTGCCATCGAACGGAATAGGTGGAAGTCAAAAGGGGCGACATCTGGGGAATACGGTGGGTGGGCAAGACTTCCCATTTCAGCGTTTCCAGGTACTTTTTGACCACTTTTGCGACGTGAGGTCTAGCATTGTCGTGTTGGAGGATGACTTTGTCATGTCGCCCTTGATATTGAGGCCGCTTTTCTTTTAGCGCGCGACTAAGGCGCATCGGTTGCGTTCGGTAGCGATCTCCTGTGATGGTTTCAGCCAGTTTTAAGAGCTCGTAGTAAATCTCACCGAGCTGATCCCACCAAATACAAATCATAACCTTGTTTGTCTTCGACATCGAAATCACCATTTTTAAATCGTTGAAACCACTCCCGACACGTTCTTTCACTCAGAGCAGCATCACCATAAGTTTCTGAGAGCATTCGATGCGCTTCAGCTGCATTTTTTTCGAATTGTAACAGAAATGGCGAGAATTAGGCACATTTTCGAGCGTGAATAATATGAAAACAAGAACAACTGTCACTGAAACGGCGATGACAATTCGTTAGGCACTGTCCACACTCACTTTAAAGGCATTATCATCTATGTATTTCAACCAGCCTCAGCCGGTACAGCCACCTATCGGAAAACGGCGGAAGCAAAGTTGTACAACTGATATAATATTATAAATACTCTACGCAGACAATAGAGTAATCGAAATGCATATAATAAAATATAGTCTTCTTAACGCGTTGATGTTCAATGGCTGAGTCATAGCTTCACCTTTGCATAACACCCTAGTAATCCATGGAGTGCTTGCAGAAAACTAGTTTTCAAATTACTCTACAAAGATACCTTAAGGCTCACTAACGAAATGAAACAGAGTCTGGCCTTGGAGCAAGCTGGTAGCGAGACGTGAGTTGCTCCAATAGTATACTCCAGAAAAGGTTAACACATGAGCTCCACAATGGCACCCGAATGGGCCTATTGGCCTAAATGCGCTGGTAGTGATCATAGAAACACAAGCTTCCCTTGAGGTAAGTTCTTCTTCAGCAAAATCATTCGCCAAATACAGGAACAGATAATTATCACTTGGTGCGAGGTCCGGATTATAAGGTGGATGCATAAGAAGCCTTCAACCGGGCTTTCGGAGCTTCTGGCGAGTCGCTTCTAAGACGATTCAATTGCTGACAGCACTGATCTACATTAAGAGTTAAGCTATAGGGATGGCTCCTCGACAATCACACCAGGCACACAATAAATCTTTCCTGGCCCCCAATCTTGGCTTAGAGACCGTTTATTTATTTGTTATTATTTAACGTTGCTGCAAGTGATCAATTTTTCATCACCAGCTCCGTGCCGCCTCAAAAATGGGTCGATTTTGTTATGCTTCAGCAGTGAATGTGGTTCACAAATGTGAGCTTCTTTCTCTTGAACTCATGTGGCATACAACGAGACATATCTAGCCATTTTCAAGTGATTTCCAACTGCCTTTTGTGCAATGTTTAGCTCCTGGTCAATCGAGATAGTGCTGGTATGAAGGTCAGACTCGGCGGTTTCCTTGAAAATTGCCCTTCGGAATTAAAAGGCTTTTGAAGAGGGCAAAATACATTTATCTAATGGTTTTTAGTCAGCGCAATGGTGGATAACAGTTTCCAATTGAATTCTGTTAATTTATTACGGGGTACCAGGGTATCAAAGAGGTGTGTGTGATCTGGCGTTATCATGATGGAACATCGCGCCTTACCCTATGCAGTGAGTTTCCTCTTGATGTCTTCATTCCATTTCCATAGTTGTCGATTTTTAGGAAACAACTCCAAGTAGACTATAATTTTGCAATCGCTCTACACATAAAGTAGACCTTTTTTATGATACCTTTTTTTATCTAAACATTTTTTTTATTTTAACATTTTTTTTATTTTAAATATATATTGGTCTTGTTGAGATTCAGTAAAAAAAAATCGTTTATATTATATCATTTGCTTCTAATATCTCTCGAATGGTTGTCGTATGTTGGTTATGTGGTTTTGGTTAATACCAACATTAAACGCTAACACTGAGCGTTAACTGTTTTTGTTTGGTTCGCCGTTACGCCTTATGCCTTACGCCTGTTCGTCATTTCTAGTACCAGATAGAGGCTCGCACGTGGGACGTCTACTCTTTTTGCGAAGTTCAAACGTTCATTGAAATACAGTTTTGAAGCTTCTTCCAGTTCTCTAAACAGCTAAGCTACTTAATATTTAAGACGTCTTCCATATGAGGCCGAACAGCAACATCGAAGATGTTCCGACGTCTCACTCATGCCATCATCTATCCTACACTTTCTACATGGTTGCATACTTGATCCACAACTTTTTTTCATAGTGGGTTATGGTATTCATTGTTTACACTGCATGAATTCATTCGAAATACTCACAAAGCATCAAATTTATTTTGCGGCTTCATTTGCCTCTTTTATTGTATTTTCGGTGCACATTTTGTTGCTATAGAAAAAAGAATTTTTAGTTTTAAGCACACATACATACATATATATATATAAAGGTTGCTTTATTATTTTGTTAATGAACATTGCTATTCAAAAATATTTGTGGTAGGTGACCAAACCTATTAACATACATACAATGGATTCCTTGTAGGAAAAATCGAATACTAATGGCAAAGAAATAAAATCCATAAGGATTTTCGAAAACCAGCTAGAAGAAAAATTATTTGATTTCTACTAAATAATTAAGATTGGAATTTTATAAACTAAGGAAAAGTTATTTCCCCTACTTAAGCTTTCCTAGATCATTTCAAAATTGCTAGGAATTTGAGATAAAAAAATTTCTCTACAGACATTCATGGGCAACTCTAAAATGATGACCACATACCAGAAAATTTTGAAAACCTAATATATGTATATAGCGTAGAGTTAGTAGTGCGTATGTAGGCACATAGTTCTGTTGATTTCATTGTTATCCTGCAAGCATTAAATTATCCTGTTGACAACAGCTGTTGTTGTTGGAAATATTTACTATTGCTGATATTTAAAACAAGAAAATAGGAAACTCCTAGTTGTATTCTGAGAACGTCATCCGTAAATATCAAAAATAGTGAATTTAATAAAAAAACAGAATTTTGTAACAATTTAACAACCAATTTAAAAACAATTGAATGGAAAAAAGGTTAAGAATTCATTTAGCGATAGAGACAAGATAACGGTAGATAACTCTCACCTTTCGGTCGTAGAATATTTCAACTAAATAACTAACTAAAATAAATAAGAATAAAAAAAAAATAAATTAAAACAAAATTAATAAAGTTTAATAAAATAAAGAAAAATAAAATAATATAAAATATCCTAAAATAATGAAATTAACTGAAATATAATTACATAAAATAAAATAAAATGAAATAAAATAATAAATAAAATAAAATACAATAAAATAAAATAAAATAAAATAAAATAAAATAAAATAAAATAAAATAAAATAAAATAAAATAAATTAAAATAAAATAAAATAAAATAAAATAAAATGAGATAAAATAAAATAAAATAAAATAAAATAAAATAGAATAAAATAAAAAAAAAATAAAATCAAGTGAACTAAAATAAAATAAAATAGAATAAAAAATATAAATTAAATGAAATAAAAAAATAAAATGAAGTGAATTAAAATAAAATAAAATAAAAATATATAAATTAAAAAAATAAACTAAAATAAAATAAAATAATAATAAATAAAACATCGAGTTCCTAATTTAATAGTCTTGATGTTTTTCAATAGAAGGCGTGGGGTACCCGAGTTTTAATGGCGCCCTAGAATGATGGATTTTTATTTGCAGTATTTTTATCACTTGTTAGAAAACACTCCTACCAAAGGGCAAAACCCTTTCGAAAATAACGGTCCGGACTTGAGCCCACTCAGCATTAACCTCACTTAATGTAATTACATTTTTTGTGTACTAAAATACAGAGATATAATTTGCTTTCAATTAAATTACAAATAAAAAAAGAATTTATATTTTATTTTATTTCGAAAAAATTCATTTGAGTCATCAAAAGTGTACCAAATGCGTACACATATTATCGATTATAAAATATGTAAGTTATTATTATAAACTAATTAAATACATGAAATGTCACATAAATCTCTTCCTGCTTCATTGGTTAGATACTGAAGATCCTTGTTTTGCGCCAGCAAGTCCGCCCAATGATTCCTGAAGTGAACGTAAGATACCAATTGGAATCTGAAAGAATGACGAGGGAAATAAGAAAAATTATAAAACATAATTGTAAATAGTAAATGCAATGAAACTTAAATACACCATAAGCAAGTTAGAGTCTTATATTTCAACGAAAAACTCACATTCAAAGCGCTAGTCACTACAGATGGTCCATTGTTCAAATTCATCTCAGGCAAGGGCGACGGTGCGGGAAAATCGAAATTATGCTTCTCAACACGTTTGGTCAAATGCTTGGAATGAGCAACAGCAGCACCAGCGTTAGGGTGGGAGTTAGCAGTGTTGGCGTTGGCGTTGGCATTGGCGTCAGCGGTGGCGCCTACCTGTGCTGCATACTGTGGTAGAAAGGAGAGCATACCCATGGGTTTAATAAATAGCTTAGTATAATTTATGTAAATAAATAAATACATGTGTGGGTTAATGTTATTTTGGGCACAAAATAAATAAAACCAACTAAATTATGGAGTTTATATTAAGTTTTCTTTTTACGTTTTTTTGTAGTATTACCATGTATTGCAGTTTAAATTAAAAGAAAATAAACTCTAAAAATCTCTCCTTGTGTCGTACTACTGGCTTGTGTGATAACAACTAGCTGTTTTATTATTTTTTATTATTATAATCTATGTGTGGTTGGATGGACCTGTGTGTGTGTTTTGTACGCTTGGCTACCACCGTATCAAACGCAATACCAAACCATATAATATTTTCGAGTACAATAACCAATATAACTATTTCTTATGATTATATACTCACATATTCCAATATAAATCATTGAAAATCACAAAATAATTAAAATAGCTTGAAATTATATAAATGCAAAACAATTTGAATTAATTACAGATCTTCTATTCCATACTTTAAAGAGTAAGGTTCATTTCCTAATAATGTCTGTGGGGTTACTAAAGCCTGCTACACTAAGAAACAATCACGAATGAAGCACAGCTTCCGGGAAATTTTCGGCTCGAGGATAGAAATCGGTGTACCAACTTCGTCTCTGATTAATACACCACCGGAGAACAAGATGGGGGTCTATGCAGGCTGATAAACGTTGTTTCTGCTCTCTTAACAGAGATGTACTATGAATGAATTTGAGAGAAGGGTTAACTGTTTTCGAATATGTCTACAATAACCGAGGTTTATTCTAAGAGGGCAAGGACCTTCTAATCTTAAGAATTTCAAGCTTGGAAAAATGCTAAAAGTCAATTTTTAGTTAACTGCAGGTAAGGCGGCCGCGGTAGCCGTCTGAAGCATAAATGGAACACAATATTAAACCACTATATAATTTTTTCAAATCAGAAAAAACATTTCCAAGTCGTTTTCTACTCAGCAAGGTTTCAAAAAACATGACTATTTTGTGTCCTATTTCGCCTCCCGATACATACTAGCCAGGGCGAAAAGATTTCTATGTTCAATGTTTCAAGCAACTTGTAGATGCACAGACATAGGCAAGGAGCTATCTATGTTCCTTATATTAAGCAAAATTAGACCATATAATGGACGCCAGCAATATTTCCTGAAAGAAAAACTGTTCTCAACGTTAATTTACGCGAAAAGCTACCCTGAACCATGTAAATCGTACCATAAACACGAACTTCCGAAAATATCGTGTCCTGGTAAATTTTACGGAAGAAAAAGTATTCGCCTTTGAATGTCAATTCGGGCTCTCTATACACAGAACATTGAAAATCGAACGATTTAAAATTAATTTTGATTTTTTCGAACATGTTCACAGCCCTCGAAATGCCAAAATGCCGATGCCAAAGTCATATGCAGCACAGACTCTTTAGATCTCTAATCTCAATGGACATCAACGAACAATGGTTTATGCTGTGGGTAGATCCGCCAGTCGAAGGACAAAGCAAAATATATCCTTTCATCAATAAACATTTAGTACATTGACGACTTGGCTTTCGTGAGACTGTTGGCAATTATAACTATGAAGTTGTAGACGAGTTCGACTACTTTAAACCACAAAGCGTAAAATACTCACCACAAGAGCCGTATTGAAATCCAAATCCCTCATAACCTAGTTCTTTTTTGGCCTATATATCATATATCACACAGCAGATGAAACACTTCAATTATTGCAGGAGATATTTCAAGGCTAAGGCTATGTTCTCTAACCTTTTGGTGATCAGAATTGACTACATAGACCGTGTGATTTATATTTATTATTATGAGGTGATTTAAAATCATATGTCCACTGTAAAAATCCCACAAAAACAAGTGCTTTAAAAGAGGATGTTCAACGTTACATTAATGAACTTCGGCCACATTTATGCAGAATAGTCCTGGAAAATTTCCAAAAACGAGTGCTTATGCTTTTGGAAAGCCGTAGATACTATTTGCCCGATGTGTTATTTCATAAATAACCCTATCCTGTGTAGTTTATGATTTAACAAAAAATTACAATCGAAAGACTAAAAGCAGTTTTCTATTTTGTTCAAGTCCTCCGTTAATTTAAGGACACCCTTTGTAGGGGCTTTTCCAATAATAGGTGTTATTTTGAATAGCCTGCTGGTCAAATAGATGTTACACCAATAATAAAACATGTAACGTGTCACGCTTCAAGGACGACGCATTGCTATTATTGAAATTCACCACGAAAATGGTGAAGATATTGCAGAAAAGCACCTTGTAGGACGGCGAATACAGAAAATGGTGGAAAAAATAAAGTTGTAAGGACAAGTTAGTGATACGAAGAATGAAACACGAACACGTCGCTCAAGAACAACTGAGAATATTACTGCTGTAGCCGAAAGTTTTGCAGAAAACCCAGGTTTGTCCAGTTCAGTTTACCGTAGAATTAAAGTCGGCTGAACATCGACAACGTCGTGTATTTGCTGATTGTGTACTTAAAATGCACGAAAATGTTTTTTGTTGTTCAATTATCTTCAAACTTAGTAAATTATAAGTATAATAGGAAATTCAATATTTTTCATTGGTTGATGTAATGAAATCGAAATTAAATAAAATTCGTAAAACTACAAAAACATTTGGTTGGGTTTCTATACTTATAGCATTAAATAAAATTCAGAAGCGAAATAAACTAAAATATGAGAATAAATATTTTTTACTGAAAAATGCCTTCACCATTAATTTTAATTTAATTGACTAAGTATGAATTAATTAAAATCATATCATAATATAAATATATAAACAAACGCGTACACCTGTAGGTAATTTTATGTTTACACTTATGCAAATACATACATATACATATTTAAATTGTTAAATGGTTAAAAAGCCAAAATATTTTTTTTTGTCTTAAATATGCTCAAAAGAAATAAACAAAAATCTGTTCACCATCGAAAGCAAAGAGCAAGCGAATAAATCTTGCTAAAACAGTAATTACGCAAGCAACAACAGCAACAATAATACAAAAAAAAGAAGAAAGAATACAAATTTAAAACAAATTGCTTGTAGCATCTAAAAACCACAAAATGCATATGTTAAGCAATGTTGAGCAGCACACGAACAAAGCCGGAACAAAGCTTAGGCTAGCGAGGCGGAGGCGGAGAGCGGAAATGGCAACCGCGTGTATTTAACCGCAAAATTTGCATGAAATGCCAAGTGCAGCTACAGTTTTTTTTTGCCATTGCATAAAACTCACATTTTTATTTCACTTTGCAAACGGTGGAGTGGGCGAGTGTGTTGGGGTGGGAATGAAGGTAGAAGGAAAAAATTTAATATCACTGCGTTTGGCGGGAGGCCTACATGGCGTATGAGCAACTAACTACTTGTACATGCATATACGAGTATGTATGTGTGCACTAACTGCGCTGCAGGGGAAAACCAACTAGTTAAATACCAGTATGTTGAAGATGAAATAATAACAGTTCGTTATTTGTAAAGAAGTCCACAAGTAATGGGAGAAATAATAATTTCCACCACTGTTTGTTGTTCTTGTATCAGCAGAACTCGACTGAGTTTCATTCTCTGTTCTGTTTTATGCAAGAGCGTAAAATGACATTGACCGTTGCATCGATATGATAGCGGAGTGATTAGAGGTTATGGCTATAGCGCGTAAGCCCGTCTCAATAAAGGCAAATTAGTGTTTAAGTTTCATTTTTTTTTAATATTTGGTGAAACAGAAATTTTCACTTCCACGTCATTCGTATGTGTTCGTTTTTGACACGGCTGAGTTTCATATTTCATTTTCTAAAAAGTTCTGCTGAAGTGCGTAGATTTCGCCCCACTTATGTCATAACGATAGTCTGGTGGTTAGAACTCTCTTATTTGAATTAGTTTTTTTTTTTGGGGAAGTAGAAATTCAACATTACTAAATGTACTAGTATTAAACTAGTATGAAGCTGATGCATAGTGGGACAATTGTCAGCTCGTAGGACATCACAGTATTAAAAATACCAGTTGCTTTCATGGTAAATGGATGAAGATGAACTAGTTGGTGTAAAAATTTAAACTAGTTGGATTCTAGTTGTCAACTAGTATTTTCCCCAGCAGGGTCTGCATGCATATATACATACACGCAGCCATTTTTAAATGAAGCCGCGACGCCGCTGTGCCATTATAGCGTTGCCTTTTCAAGCAATTTTGCCTCTACATATATATTATATTATATATATATATACATATATATAAATATATATATTATAGACTAATATGCAAATATATAATATATATTTATACTCGTATATAATAATGTAAATATTTTTGCAAAAATCTTTTATGCCTTGTTTTTTGTACTTTCACCACTTCCTTGCCGCTGTGATACCTGCACGAGACGTTCGCGTTGCCGCTGCTGTTGACGTTCACGTTTATTTGGTCGCATGCGTGACTTTTGGCGTAAACGTTGCCGGCTCACTATGACGGTGGGTGGCGCGGATATGACTTTTGGATTCTCAACCTGCTTTCTCTCTGCCGATTGTGGCTCGTACTCGTCGGGTTGCGCTTTATTCTTCTTTGCGGTTATGCTGCCACCACTTGCAATTGCGGATTGTATTCCTTCTTCTCTTGCTGGATATTGTTCATCGCTCTTCACATATGTGGCAATAGGTTTAACGGTATATTGTTTATCATGTCCTTCCGCGGTGATGGAGGGAGCAGCGGCGGTGCCATAATCGCTCTCATTACTGTCGCCATTATGGTTGGAGTTTTTCACTTTAGCAGACGGCGGGGCATCGCTATTGGTGTTGGTGGTTTCGGTGCGAGGTTTCGTAGTGCTCTTGTGGTCAGCAATATTGTCACTTTTATATGCTTTGTTAATGTAAGACTACATTTGTGATTAGAGAGTGTCGTTGGGAAGGAATATTTTTAAAATTATTTATTTTGCTTTCAAATTTGTTTTCTTGATATTTTTAAGTTAATCTATGTTCCATAAATTAATAAAAAAGCATTGAGTACTCAAATCAGACCTTCTATGTCTAACATCATTACAAATCAGAAACCCAAGAATATTGGAGAAAATAGAAAATTTCGTGGCTTTCATACCACTCTTAAAATTTTCAATAAGAATAACTGCTTTGAAGAGTTGAAAGGAGAACCTAAAGCATCTGGAGTCTTCAAAGAACAAGTAAAAATTATGTTATGACAAGACAAAGAAAATCCTCAAAAGAAGTCGTTGATCATGATATGGATGGTCTCCCATTGTACTGCGACGCTTTTCAAAAATTTAAAGCGCGTGCTGTTTTCTGCTTATAAAGTGCTTGTCTAATCCTTTGTGGAATGTATGGAGATTTCAATCGCGTCTCTAAAATAAAAAATGAGAATCTCATCGAAATAGAGTTTAAATGGACAAATCATTTTGTACTGATTGACAACGTTCTAGTCTATAAGTTGGAGTTAATAACCTTTGGGAAGAAATCAGAATTAAGTGCGTAGGAAAGTAAAGTCTTCTTCTGAAGAACAGAGACCACACATAATAAGTAGCTCCTTATTATGGATAACTTATGTGGAAGAGGTATGGACATTCGATATACATGATAACCAAGTAGGAGAATAGCTGAAGGAAGAAAAGAGAGACCTATAAACCATCAAAGGTATCAAGAGATTGAGAAAATTTTACTTTTCGACGTTCTCAGGAGTTTTCAAAAAGTGGCGCCACAAAGTAACCAGAGAGCACAAAATTACATTAACAATAAAGTTACTCTCAAAAAGAGTTTCGTGTATGATCTCTGAGTGCTATTAATTTTGTAAGACTGAGATATTTTTAATGAAAGATAACCAGTGCTGAAGAGCGTACTAAATTTAATTATTTCGCTGAGTACAAACAGATGAAATAGAAGAAGAAAATAATAATAAAATGAAAACCAGATTTAATGTATGAGGAAGACAAAGAAGTAGAACTTTGGCGAACACTAATTATTATTCTTAAACCTAATTAATTCCTGTTTTGTAATATTTGCTTAATTTTAATTACTTATTCATTGGTTGGTTAACAAAACAAAATATATACAGGTGGCAACCTTTCAGTATAAATTTTTATTATGACTTATCCAAATCTTTTCAATTGCATACCCACATCTTTAGAAGTGGTCAAAGAATTAATTTTTTACTTAGTAAATAATAGAAGGTGGCTACCCTCGAAGCTTCATTTTCTAAAAGAAAATATACCTTAAAATAAAATAAAATAAAATAAAATAAAATAAAATAAAATAAAATAAAATAAAATAAAATAAAATAAAATAAAATAAAATAAAATAAAATAAAATAAAATAAAATAAAATAAAATAAAATAAAATAAAAGAAAAAAAAAATAAAATAAAATTAATTAAAATAATAATAATAAAGTAAATAATTTAAATTATAAGAAAATCAAATAAAAAAGGAAAATAAAATGAAATGAAATCAAATAAATAAAAAAAAATAATAAAATAAAAACAAAAAATAATAAAATAGAAAATAATTGAATTATCCAAACAGATTGTTAACGCTCTGCATACTCTGTGCCTAAAGAAAAATTTTTCCAAATTTGGTTTCGCTGCTTGCTCCTCGTTGTATTATATAATAGATCTTACTTTGCACCGCTCCGATTTGAACTCTGCTATTACAATATCGATCCTTTTGAACTCACACATAAATTTCATACAAATACTTGGAGAAAATATACTTACACTTGGTTTAATCAGATACTTCTTTGGAGGTCGCACTTTCTGAATGCCATTGTAGTAGATCTCCGTGGGATTATCGCCAACACTAGGTGCGCTAGTCACTGTATTCACCGAATTTGCTTGATTGTTGTAAGCACCAGGGAAAAGCGTATTTTTTGTGCTAGCAACTGTTCTGCCGCCGGCAAAAGCTTGTGAGCCAGCATAACCACCTTTGCCGGTGTCGCCGCCCAGAATTACACCAGCGCCGGTTCGTGGATTGGCCTCAGCACCGGCGTATAGTAAACCAGCGGCGTTGCCTAATGAGAAATAAATGCATATTTTACAAAAAGATATTTTCTACAAAAATAACGCTGAATGCAATTAGAATAAATTTAGTAAAATTAAAATCTCTAGAATTTTTCCTAAATTGATTTATTTTATTAATTAAAACAATACAATTCTCTTGGGTAAACGTAGAAATGAGGATGAAAGTCTTTTAAATAGCAGCGAACTTTCCACATTTGTAGAGTATGTTTGTGTTTTGTATCCTGTGCAATGTTGTTGTTAAAAGTTAGTTAGTTATTACTGCGGAAAATAAATATTGCATCCGCATGAAAAGCTCCTCTTTGAAATGCTTAGCGGCATACTGTTGCCACGTAATGTTTGTGTAATAACTAATTATTAAAAGTTTTGGCACAGAGAAAGTGATCAGTAGGAAAAGCGAAATTAATGGCGAACATTCTTTCACATTTTTTTCGGAAAGTAGCCGAATAGTCTTTGTTCAAATTATTATTTTATCTATTTTTTTACAATGAAAATTAATAATTGACTTATTTTAAACAAAAATATTTGCATTAACATTAAAAGAGACTGCGAGCCTCAATAATGAGAACGCCGCTACGAGCCCGACATACAATTAGATAAAATGAAGCGAAATATGTAAAAAGTAGAGGTAGTAGTAAAAGTGAAGATAAAAAAATTACCACACAGTGGCTCTCAAACTTTTAAGGCTTTTGGCTTAAACAAACATATTATTCCATTTTCATCAAATTATTAATCTCAAAACATCTAATTTATATCTTTGTTTTGATGACATTTAATTTATTATTTAATTTAATTTAAGCTACACTCTGTACCATTTTACGGTTTCGGAATAAAGGGAAATAAAATGCATTTATGAATAATAAAATAATTTTTTATAAAATTTCATTTTTATCTTAAAATATGTCATTATATGTGAGATAATGCATCAATAGAATGACCGCCTCTTAAATTTTTGCAAACTTCGATGCCTTTGAGCAGTAACCCAGTCATAATTTATCGTATGTTGATTTTTAAGTGCTCAAGAGCTAAGGATTTATCCGCATAAACACGGTATTTCACATTATAATGGGCGCTTTGTAACCGCTGAAGCGATTTTATTAAATGGCCTTTTCATATATTACAAATGGGAGTTTAGTATTCAAATATTTCCATTTTATAAAACTAATGTGGTAAGGTTTTTTTTATAGAAATGCTTGGCAATCAGGAGCTGCAAAATGTAAATATGTATATGTTTTTGAAAATTATAATTAATAATATTTTAGCTACTACATATGTAGGTATTTATGAATGTAATAAGAGGAAAGTGTATGTAAAATCGAATTTTTAAGAATATTTTATTAATTTGAAAAAATCGATTTTCAGTCCTTGATTGCATTATAATTAAAATTATTTTTAATTGTTTTTGAGATCAAGATATTCATTTTGTTATAAGTTTTTAGTGAGCGAAAGACCTAATTTGTTTGAATGAATTGAAAATTTATTTTGTTATACAACAAAAAAAAAAAAAAATGGTGGAAGTTACAGCTGTTTCGAAGGTAACCACATCTCCTCATTAGACTTCTTATAACAGGGATCGAACCAATCTGACTTAACAGGTCAGTGTTTATTACATTTATTTTACATTTATTTTACTCCAATTCATTTTAATTTAATATTTTTATACTTATATTCACACAATTTTTCCTATTTTATATTAATTTATTTTATCCTAATTCTTTTCTTTCTCATTTATTTTAAATTTTGTTCTGTTTTTTTATTTTATATTAAATTAATATAATCTATTAAATTTTATATTTTACTTTTATTAATGGCTTAAAACATTCATTGTGAAAAATAAAATTTTTATTTTTTATTAAAAAATACGAAAATAAATTTATAATTTAAAATTTTATTAAATTTCGTTTCGTTAAATTTTATTTTATTTAATCTATTTTATATCATTGCATTTTATTTAATTTAAATTTTTTTGTTTTAATATATTTTCTTATAAATAATACATTTAATTGGCACTCTATAACCGCTGAAGCGATTTTCGGCCGAGCTCCTTCTCCAATTTGTGGTTTTGTCTCCTGATGTTTTTCCACCAAATGGATGAACCTACAGTTTATACTAAGCCGCATCCGAACGGCTGATGGTTTTTTATAAGAGCCCATTATTTATTAATTTTCTATAAATTTTGGATGTCGGTCGCACGGGGATTCGAACCGGAACGTTCCGAATGGCAGTACGCAATGCTAACCACTCGGCTACCGCGGCCGCCTTTTTCTTATATATTTATCTAATTAGATTTTATCTCATTTGTAATATTATTTTATTTTGTTGCGTTTTATTTTGCTAAAATTTAATTAGAACTTAAAATTTGAGTTATGTTTTTTTCCTTTTTTATATATTATAGCTTTCTTTTGATTATTTACAATTTTTTCAATCGCTTTTCTTTTTATTTCACTTAATGTTTTTTTTTTGTTATTTTTTTCCCTCTTATTTATACATTTTTTTAGTTTTGTTTAATGAAGTTTTATTTAAGTTAATTTATCATTGTATTTCATTTTATTTCATTTATAATATTTTTTGTTGACTTATCAATTTTAATTTCTTTTATTTTTATTTTATTTCATTTTACGTTAGTTTTTTATATGATTTTATTTTTTATTGCTTAATTAATTTTTATTTAATTTTAAATAGTATTAAATATTTTGATTTCTTTTTTTTCGTTTCTTATTTTAATTTTCTTAATGTCTTTTTTGTTATTTCTTTTTCTTCTAATTTATATATTTTTTTATATAATGATATATGTTTCGTTTTTTTATTAATTTAATTTCATTTTATTTTATTTAAATATATTTTATTTTATATTAAATTTGTTTGTTTTATTTCTTTTTCCTCTATTTTATATTAATAACATTATAATATTTATTTTTTATATTTTTTCTAATTCCTTTTTCTTCCTTTATTTTATTTCACTTAATTTTATTATATTTGATTTTTGTTTGTCTTATTTCCTTTTCTTTCATTTTTAATTTTTGTATTATAGTTTTAGTTTATATATTTTTTTGAAATTAAGTTCATTTAATTTAATTTTATTATTTTGTTTATTTATTTTTATTTTAATTAAGTTCTTAATATTTATTGCTTTTATTTTCAAATTATTATCAATATTTTCATTTAGTTTTATATTTGTTTGTTTTATTTCTTTTTCTTTTATTTTTTTCTCTTTTTCCTCTTTTTATTTTTTTTTCCTCTATTTTATATTAATAACATTATAATAATTGGTTTTTTATATTTTTTCTATTTCATTTTTTTATTTTATTTAATTTCACTTAATTTTATTTTATTTTAATTTTGCTTGTCTTATTTCTTTTTCCTATATCTCATATTTTTGGTATTATAATTTTTGATTTTATTTTAGTTTATTTATTTATTTTTTTTAATTAATTTAATTTAATTTAATTTTATAATTTTGTTTACTTAATTTTGTTTTAATTAATTTCTTAATATTTATTGCTTTTATTTTCAAATTAATATTTATTTATTTATTTCAAACTAACTTTTTTATTTAATTTTATATTAGTTTGATTTATTTTTTTCATGTTAATTGATTTATTCCACCTTATTTTATTACAAATTTTCATTCGAAATTTAGTTACTTAATTGCATTTTATTAAATTTTATTTTATTTTTAGTTTTTTTTTTATTTAATTATTTATTTTTTATTTGATTTGATTATTTTTTATTTGTCTTAGCTAGAGCTATTCTATTAAAAAATTTAAAATTAATTTAATTTAACGTTATTGGTCATACTTTAGTTTTCTTTATTTTGTTGAATAATATTTTTCCATTGAAAACAACGAATTCGTACTTCTTTGCTTTCAAATGGGTTTATTTGCTTGTGAATTTGTTTGTTTGAACAAATGTAGTTATCTTAAAGTAGGTAAGGTGAGTTGTGTGTTTTTTACTACAATTTCTGTCACTACTAGATGCTGTCTACTGGCTAACAATAGTATGTATGTAAGCTTATCACCTTGAATATGAGGGAAGTCTATTATTGACAGTATTTTCTGCTGCTACCGTTGTCACCTTCAATAAGACAAAATGTTTTTTTTTTGTAGCGGAAGCTTCCTGCTTCTGTATGTAGTCATTGGATACTTAATTTCTGCAACTTAAAATCTAACTCGCACTTTTATGGTTCTGCGTTTTTTTATTTCTATTCTATTCTATATCTATTTTGCTATATTAAAGTTTTACATTTTCATAACATCAAAAAATTAATATCATTGCCTAAACACTTATATTCATTTGTACATAGAAGATAATTTATCATTCCCCAGGCATACAAATACTGATAAAGACATACTACATATCAAAATGGAAATTTTTTTGATAATTTATGTGTTTTACCATCAACGCTGCCACCCAAACCGGCACCAGCTCTTTGCCCGAATGGTGTACCGGCCGAGGCGCTCAGGCCGCCATGCGCCGCATTGCCAGTAAGTAAGCCACCCAAACCTGCCTCGGCGTGATAACCACCGAAATTGACGCCAAATTTGCCATCTCTGAAAGTGAGGAGCTGCAAGAAACCAGATAGTAAAATAAACATAAATAATAATTTTAGAAAATTCAAATATAATATAATAAATATGTATGCCATACTAGTTGGCTTCTATGAACTTGGTATGTGTATGTAAGTTTATGTTTATACAATATTTGTATAATTTTAGCATGTTATGAATTTGGTGGTTTTGCTTTGGCGTTATTATCAGACACATTTTTGCTATTCACGAAATTGCCTCCACCAAAAATACCCTAAATTTCATTGTTTATATAGTTATGTATATATCAAAAATGAGGTATGTACATTTGTTTGTATGTTTGTACAGGTTTTTTTTTATTAAGATCTTATCTCTGTCAAGTTCTAAAAGAAAAATATATGGAGAGACGTGTGTGTGGGGTTTCAAAAGACACAACATTTTAACACTCGATATATCAATTTGTTATCATTTAACTGTAACAAGTGCATACAGTTGCTGCAAGGCGAAATGGTACATGTTTGTTTTTTCTCCAGTTATATGGATACCCATTTATTTTGGCAGCGCAATTGTGATGAAATTTGACCCTTTTGATACAAAAAGTCATTTTCGAATAACAAGTTATATTCATACGATTTTATTAAAACCCATGATCAATATTTCAGACACGATTCCCGTGCAAAAATATTATTTCTGAACAACTAGTTGTATGTGAATTTTGAGTTTTAATCGGCCGATTTTTAAATATCTCATGCTAAATATTACAGACATAATTTTAATAAAAAAACAGTATTTCGTATTTTTAACAGCTTAAATGTAATCTTTTTGACCCAAAAACTAATTTTCGAACAAAAAACAATATGGGAGTTTTATGTTTTAGTGATCCGACTTGAAAAAAAAATCATATTAAGCATTTAAGGCATAATTATAAAGTAAAAAATACAATTTAATATTTTTAAACTACTAAAATCCAAGCTTTTTAAGTCGAAAACCTATTTTCGAACAACCAGTTGTATGGCAGGTATATGCAAGAGTTGCTTGACTTCGATAAAACTCATGCTCCACAATTTACACACAATTTCTATTCAGAACACCGAGTTTAAAATTTTTAGCTGCTTACCTGTGAACGTTTTGATTTTAAAATGCATTTTCGAACAACGACTTATATGACAGCTGTATATTACTGCCGTGTGAACTCAAAATTTTTTAATTTTTATCATTTTAATCACTATCACTATGCACAAAATATCGTTGTTCAGATTTTACTTACATAAATGTAGAAATTATGAACCAAAAAGGAGTTTTTGAAAAATAATCTGTGTTGTTTTTATCAGTGAAGATCACAAAATTTCTTCGTTTTTATTTCCAATACATACTCGTATATCTAGCCCCCCTCATTGCAGGTTACTAACAACGTGTTTTTGAAGAGTTTAGTTTTGTAGGTTCTTTTACTTTTGTTAGACACTGTATACGAATAGGTATAGACTTCTGTATGTATGTATAGATTTATATGTATTTGGTACCACGTTTGAAGTGTACGTTCGATTAATTTTCAGTCGTTTCGCATACTTTAAGGTTGTTCGTAGTCAATTATCGCTCCCATTAAACGGTTGATTAAGCCAAAGAAGCTTACATACATACATATATACATAATATTTGATAACGTTCGTGTTGTGATCATGCCAAATAAACAAAACAAATTAACAAAAAACTTTTCTAAATCAATTTCACTTTTCGTTAGCATTTTAAGTGTATTACCGTTATTAACAACAGCTGATTCCTTTACGTGGGGTCATATCAATAAATATGCCTCACCAATATATGACGAAGAAATCAAACTTACTGATAACACGAAGTCAATTACGATTACATATCCACAGGAGGTGAGTTCTATGTATATACACTCACATTTAATAAGAGGTCTGTACATATATAATTTTATAGCGGTTTTTTTTTTAGTGAAATGAGGTCAAGTATTTTGTTTAAAGGTAAACAAAATGTCTTACGATAAGTGACGAGAGAGGACTAGTTGTTGTCTTACTTAGATGACGGGTATGAAAAGAAAACAATGTAATAAATTACAGGACTAGTTAAGAACCAACACTTATGATTTCTACTACGTCTTGGACCCTCTGTGGAGCTATTATACTGAAATCAGAGAAAGTTCACCCTGAATTGCATTCGGAACTGTTGAACTCGTACTCCTACTCGATGACGACAGAATAGGCGTTCCATTATATGACTATGACAAAGTATGAATAGCAATTGTTCACCTGAAGAATAATGAAGTGGCTGACGCCGATGGTTTACGGGCCGAGGTTTCCAGGTCGGGTGGCGAAACATTACCGCACTCCAACTTTGCGAGCCTTCGATGTAATAATCGAGGATGAATTTGGCCTCACTTATTATCTCCAAACATCGAAAACAAATAAAATGACTGGGGGTAATGCTAAATCGGGTATGAACGTTTACTCCGGCCACCATTGCTATTGATTTTCGAAAATCTTCGTGCAGAAATAAAGTGCTTAAGTTTACAGGCAAAGCTCTGCATAAATTGAACGGGTAGGGTCTGCAGCTTATCGAGCCAGACCAGAGTTCAGGACGTCCTTCAATATATCAAACCACTGCACCCTCTTCAAAGCCCAAAAATATTTGCCATTAAAAATGGATTCAGAGTTATTGCAGGGAACAGATCTACTCAGAAATATAATACCTATTTAAGTAGATAGCCAATCCGTCATGGAGCAATACGTCGGCGTTAGTTTAACTATGAAAGGAGGCAGGTAAAAAAAGTGGCACAGAAAAGAAAAGTTCATATTTTTTGAAGGATTCGGACAAAGAAGGCATACATTTACAGCAGAACGTAATGATTCACATAACAGTCCCTATTCAGGACGGAAAACTCTTAATCAGTTTAAAGTAGCGATAAAGAGGCCGAACTGTAATCTGTTACTCAAGCTAGGTATTGTCGTTCCACGTCTCATGCTTTCAAGTATCTGTTTGACCAGAGTCCGGGGTAAGGAGGAGGTGAGGGATGAGACTTTCCTGAATAAATACTGTTTGGTCTAAATACGAAGCAGGCAAAAGAGGTGGATTCATCTGTAGTCCTCGCAAGAAGCAAGTATCTACAAACTCTATGTCTACAGCTCTGCCTCTCAAGCAGAAGGTGAAAAATAGACCAGAGCTATAACGGCATAAACTAATAAGCATATCGTAGTCAACCAATTGACAATTATGACAATTATGTATGTCCACACAGAGTGTGAGAATGTGTAAAGAAGAATTTAACAGACTATCGCGGGAAAACATTGTCAATACCAATTGGGTCGTTTAGATGTAGAAGCCAATGAAAAAATGTAAGAGCTGAGGTCCCAATGCCCTAGTGAGTCTCTCTATAGACTATGCCAAAACCCTTCAGCGCCTTCAAATCTTGTCTAAAGCGGTGAACTGGAACAATCAAGTTTCCGTGGTACTTCCCATGTATGACTTGGCTCTAAAATAATGTGGAGCAGCTCGGATTTTGAAGCGACCACACTCTTATTTGCATTTAACCAAAGAGAAGTTAGAATTGATGAAACAACTACATCTGAGGCATCAACTCCAAAAGGAAAAACGGAATTGGAAGAACTCAGAGCATGCATCGAAGGTGACAGGACGCGGGAACACTACCACTGCGAGTGTCCGGTCTTCAACCGAGTGAGACGTAATATTTTAGACAATACTCTCAGCTGCAGCCTTGCAGAGCTCTGCGGAGGTGGGCACACGATGTTGAACAATTTAAAAAAGTTCATACAATCGATCAAACTGTTCGCAAACGCAAAGTACACTGAGCCCACTCAATGGCTTAGATGGGCCATCCAACTGAGTAGCACAAATTCAGGCCGTGAAAATTTGTACAATAGCGCAAAGAAGGCTTGTAGTAATTTAAAAAGTTAATCCTGTTAATCAACTCGATTTATATGCTGAACATCTAAGGATAAGAATCTAAGTTGCCGGCATAGGGCTGTGATAAAAATCATCGATGCAAAAGAGGGAAATTTCTCGCCCACGAGAGTGGAATGACTGGCTGTACGGAGTACAACCATACGGAAAATCAGGGTTCAAGTTCGGTGAGGAATGTCAACCCCTCGGGGTATATATCTCATATGAGATAGAAATCTCCTCATAAAAAACTAACGGCCTTTCGGCGGTGGATTGAAATAAATTGCAGTTACCTCCATTTGTTGGAAAAACCTCCTCCAATTTCTTCTTTCCGAACTCCAATTTCAAAAAATTTCTCTTTGTTGTCTCTCTTATTTACTTCTAAATATTCATAGTTCAAAGAACTAAGTAATAATTTTGCCAATAATTTAATACCCTCATATTCTTCCACAGGGTCTCACCAACGACTACACGATAATCGCAATGCATGCATACGCTGTAGAAACCCCATCGACCATGACAACGGAGGCGAAACATGTCGCACACATTAACAACTCTGCAGATGTTGAGGTTTTACGCGGTGGAATCGGTTTTAATTATACGACAATACGATTTCAAACGCCAACGCTCGCTTATCACCAATCAACTGCAGACAGAATTAGCGTTGCAGATGACCGTGAAGGTGGTCGAGGCAGTGAGGCGGGGCGTGGCAATAATTTACGCGCACACTATCAGCTCGTTATTTATGGTGTTGATTTATAGTTCTACTATTATTGTGAAAATAATAAATTTATTAATCCAAATGAAATTAATGCTTAAGTTCGTTTTGTTGAAATCTCTATTTTGTTAAGATTTTGTTATTTTTAGTAATTTTTCTGTATGATTTTTGCATTTTAGTTTAAAGTAAATTGCCTGCAATGCTTTTATGTTGTTTCAGATGCAACCTTAAGAGAGAGTTCGTCCACCTTTCTGGTGTAGCGATGGGCATGAGACCGAGAAAAAGCTCATATTAATGCGATATTCTATGTATTTAACCTGAAACGACCAAACTATGCAAATATACACAACTAACGGTATTGAAAAGGGGCCAAATAAAACAGCTGACAATACATTCAAAGGCATCGAGCGAGAAAGACAAACAAACAAACAAACAAACAAAGAAACAAACGAACAGAACGAAAAGAAACCCAAGCCAGGCAACTGTCGCTACCACAGCGTGGTTTCACCTGCTGTTTGTTTTCTTCCACCACTTTGTCACTTATGACAACTCACGGTAACGTCTCTTTTCGTAAAGGCCAATATCAACAGAGAACGTTGTAGAGATTATACCGTTATCTTAAAACTAACTAACGCCTACAAACGCTTGTTAGAACACAAGAAAAGCAAACACTTTCAAAACTTAATTCTACTACCATTTTTCACTGCCACGACAGACATACACAATAGTGGCCTATGGTTTGTTTCACGTTTCTTATATATTTACAATTATAAATATGTATATGTATATATAAATATATAATTGGTACTTAGTAACCGCTGAGGCGATCTTCGGCCGAGCTCCACCTCCATTTGGTGGTTTTGCGTCTTGATGTTTTCCCAACAAATGGAGGAATCTAAAGTTCATACTAAGCCGCCTGCGAACGGCTGCTGGCTTGTTTATGAGAAGCCTTTATTTCCTGTCAGATATATACACTCGGAGGGGTAACATTTCCTGCTAAGGGGCGAGCGCAATTACAAAATTGACCTTAATTTTCTAAAACTTCTGAATGTTGTTCATACCAAGATTTGAACCCGGCCCTTCTGAATGTCAGTATGCAATGCTAACCACTCGGCTGCCGCGGCCGCCATATTTCTTAGTCTTCTAATTTTCACGGTATTTTTTTTGTATCGTTGCGGTTGTGGCGTAAGAGTCTTATGTTTGAGTTTGCGCTGCAGACTAAAATACAATGTAAACATAAGCTACGTAACGGTTTTTCGATTTCGATTCTGAAAAGTTGAAAATAAAACTCTGATGCTAGTGCTGGTGAAAAAGGAACGAAACCTTCGAATTCGATTTCGGTTCTTCAATCACTCTCCTATATTTGTTGGCGTTTTGGTTATGAATTCGATCCTGAACGCTTTAAGATACCCAGTAGACTGGATCAGGTAATATACTAGGCGGACAGGTGGGTGTAAGTTGGTGCAGAGAAGTTTGCTTCATATCTCGGCTTGACGTATGAAGATGAAATTGCAATTATTATTTTATTTTTATTTTCAGAACTCTTTTGTCTAGCAGGAACAACATTTATATCGACAAGTTGGAAGATCCGATTGATTTTGAGCTGCTATAAAGGTCAACGACCATAAGGGTCGGAACTTATAGCTTTGATTCCTTTGACTTCAGTTTCAGCTTGATCAGTCAATTTCAAAACGTCCAACCATTGCTTTTTACCCAATAGATAGACACATACAATATATCTCGTTATAGAGCAACTAATTAATTTTATTTACAACGCCGTCTTTATGTTTACTGCAGCTCCGCTCTCGGGTTTAGGTTTCATTAGTATAGTCTTAAAATCCACATCATGACTTCAACTTCGGTTCCACACTTCATAAAATCTGGTTGCTTCTTGCTCAACTCTTTATAGGAGTAGGCAAAGATTCAGGAGGCGAGCTTTTTGATGGGTCCGTACCAGAGGGAGAAGAGTTTGAGAAGAGTAAGTATTAGAGGACATGCAAAGAGGTAGTTATGGTTTTGCGGAAAATTACTGTGCCAGCACTATTCTGGTCTAGCCGGGTAGCTCGATCTCATGTTCTGCTGGTGCTGGTTGTATTACGAGAGCGCCATTCACGGGAACAGAGTTTATAGAAGTGTTGACGGACTTTCTCTAGTTCTCTCCTGCTCTTCCATTGCATGGTATTGGATGAAGCTGTTCAGATCGAGTAATCCCTTTCTCATGGACCTTAGTTCTAGTAGATAGTCACTAAAGTAGCATCTTTCAAGATAATTCTTCCGCGGCTTAACATTATCCTCTCTCCTAAGTCTCGCCTTAATGTGCTGTGTAAGTATACTATACACGTGGCATTAGTAATTTTGCCGTTACTGCGTCTTGCTAGTCATCGGTTGAAGATTTCGTCGCCTCTATGTCGATTGGGTGCAATCGGAGGCGTAGGCGGAGGGAAGACAGATTTGCCAAACGTGACTTCTAGTAAATTTGATTTATTTATTGTCGGAGTTCGACTTCGTCGATAGCCGAGGACTACACTTGTTGTAGTTGTATTTGTCGTGCAGTGCAGATTGTCAATATTGGCCAGTCATCGTTATATGAGATGAGGAGAACGCGGTCTGGTGGTAGGAAGTTAATCAAAAGCCGGTAAAGGACAGCACCTTGCGGTACCCATTAGTTTTCTCGTAATTTTGATTTTAGTCCTGTCGACGACTTCTCAGATGATTCAACATCCACATCTTCATGCTCGACAGTAGTGATAATTCTTAATAGGTGTTTTCGTGCTACCAGGAAAGTTCGCACGCAGAACCGGTTTGGTGTGAGAACGGCGTTAAGTACGTAGGTTTTGGAGTTGTGTATTTTGCAAAAGCCATACTGATATGCTGCTGGACGCAGGTGAAGAGTAAAAGAAGTAATCAGTACGGCCTCAAGTGTCTTAGTTACTGTGGAAATGAGGGAAATCATTGGATACGATTCTTCTTTGTTGGCAGGCTTCCCTGGTTTTAGAAGCGGCACCCCCATACCGTGTCTTTGTGAGGAATTCTTTTCCCGCGGGAACTAGATGTTTTTATTCAGTCCAGTTAGGCGGTCCAATAGCATACAAGTTTTTTCTTCTCTTCAAAATTTGGCATACATAGAAAACACCTGGTCTACGCAGATACTTATACACTTGATATTTCCAATAAAATCATAGTCGTTCGCCTTCAATTTTTCCTCTATTGGGTACTTTATTAATATTACTTTCGTTCATCCGAACGACACTATTTAGGCAGCATAGTTGCTGTCTCCTCTCTTTTCTTAAAGCAGACTCATCACGAGTTGTAAACATCCACGCTTAAGTACCATACAGCTGGGCGGAAATGATGATCGACTTGTAGAGTTTGATCTTTGTTCATCCAGAGAGACTATTTATTTGATGACAGAGGCAACACAAGACTTCGCGTGTCGACAGTTTTTTACGAATCTTTGGGTGATAGGCTGATCTATCAGGCTGATAAGATTTACTCAGTTCGCTGGCAGCGAGCTTTAGTTTTTACATGTGATATCGAGAAGACCATAATTCCTTAACAACCATTGCTACTATAACCTGGTGGTAAGGCATAACGTGGTTTTAATTTGGATTCCGTCACCTTTCTATTACAGATAATACAAATTTATAATACAAACTTATTATCTGTGACAGTTGTGTTTCGTTTATCTTCCCATCTACCCACCTTCGGTTGTACGCCACTGCCCGACTTGATGATTGATTGATATTACACCTATGACTGCCGGTTCCGACTTCGCTTCTGTTTAACTCACCTCCGTAACATCTCGTACGCACACACACTTATTACAATATTACATACTCACACACCTAAAATATCCTACATAGTTTGTGACACTTTCCTTGTGAGCCGACCGTGGTTGTGTCATTCCAACACCTTTTTAATGTTAAGGTTATACAACAATAATAACAACAATAATCAGCAGTTGGCTATGTAAATAGAAGGTCGAAAAACTAAAATGTATGTACTCGTACATACGTACATACATACATAAATGTATGCAGATAGTTAAGGAGCGAGTCGTCGGACTTTCACTTTAAAAGTGCGCTCAAGTGTGTCTAAATACTTTCGGCCAATTTGGGACGCCTCGAATGAACGAGCGTTGGTGTATGTTTGTATGCGTGTGCCAACACGTATGTCGTCTTCATCGCTGCTAATGTGCGCGTGGGCTCTCTTACGCTGCTCGTCTGCCCTGTTGCCACTCAAGTTGCTCGCTTGGCCCTCGCCCGTCTTTGCTTTAAGGTGTTTTCGGGTAAATAGATTTTTATCGCAACTTATTTTGAAATTAGCATTTTGCAGTGCTTGCAAGTAACAGATTTTCATGTGAGTGGTGGGAGTGAGCTTGGCAGTGTATGCGTATATACGTGTATGTGAATGTGTGTGATTTTGTCATGAGTGTGGCTATTTTTCAGCTAAATTTTTTTAAATTTCTTTTATACCCAAATGTGTTAGAATTTATTTTCTTCTTTTTTTTTTGCTTTTCTTCGCTAATCGGGTTCGCCCTTTATTTTCTTTAGGTGCAAAGTTTATCGGCGTGGCATTTTTTCGTAGTTTTTTTCTTCATTATTTTGTTACTCAGTTAAATTGAAATTGAAATTAAGCTAGTAAAGCTGAATGATAAGCGCGGCGATTATTTAGACAGGCACCGAAATGGGTGATTTTATTTGAATAGTATTTTCGCTCACCTTCACATAAATTCCAGCTCCTTGACACAGACATTGTCCTTTGACTTGGTTTCCGTTTGCCACTTTTTCGGTTGTAGGTTTTTTTTATCAAGGAAATAAATTAAATCTATAATTATTTTTTGGCCGCAAGGGACATTTATGTAAATAATTTAGGTACTGCAGAAAAATGTACTTTTGTACATTTGTATGTATGTATGTCTGTATGAATATGAGTATATTCTTTATTTAATAAAGCTCGAAACGTAAAAAGAATTAAACTGGTTCGGATAATTCAGTGGGCTTACTTAGAATTGACGTAAAAAGCTTTAGCATCAAAAAAAAAATTGTCAGGTGTTGCCAGCCGTG